AGATAGATGGCTAAAGCTGAATTTAAAAGAGAAAAGGAAAAAAAAAGTGGAGAATGAATGGAAAGTTTCTATAACGCTAACAACTCATCTTCACGCATACAAATCTTTTTACTATTATTCTCTTTTCAGGCAAAAAGGTAAAGAATACGATGTGTCTCATTTCACAAGGACAAGAAAGAAAAGACAAAGCTTCTCCTCGACAAATTTTCACAACCGACCGCCCATATGCTCAGGTTCCGCCCATTTGAACGTTAATATGTACTAACATGCTTATATGTTCTTACAACTTAAACTTCAAATCAGAGAGCCATTCTGATTGTTTCGCGAACGAATAGGAGACGAGCTGGTCATGAAACACAACCGTTCATTTGTTTTTTGAAATGCAAATGAAGTTGTTTGAGCGGCTAAATATTGACGTCAAATACACGTGAGACGTGTATCAGACGTGAAAAAAGTGAGCAAAAAGCATGTTAATGACAATGGTAATGTTCAAAAAACTTCAAATGTTTACAATTAACTTGTGAAAACAAAAAAAAAGTTTTTGCGTATCAAATCCTCAGGGTGCAAACAGAAGAGCTTCAATGCCGGTTACTTAGCAGAAAAGAGTAAATTAGTTATAAAATAGAAAATTCTTTTTAAGATAATAATTGATCAGTTTTGTCGGAAGTAAGAAATGTATAACCGGAAATGCATTTGGATACAGCAGGAGTGTCGTCGTCAAGATAACCTTGCCCTTTCATTGAAAATTAAGGAGGAAATATATATTTTTAAAAATGCAATCACACAGAGCATAAGATTGAGGAAAGAAGGCAAATAAGGAGAAGAAGAAAAAAACGGATGAAATTGAATAAAATAAAATATTAATTATGAGGAAGTAGTTGATGAGGATGTGGTTTGAGGAAGAAAGGAAACTGATGAACTAAGCCGTGAGAGCCAAACGATGCATGGCATCAGATGCAATACATGCGTATGATTGTCTGACCTTTAACGGGAAAAATGTTTCAAAATGTCTTTTTATGAGATAATTTCCTTAAATTTAATTCAAACATATAGGAATTTATGACAATCTGATGAATGAAAAATGAATTTTTTAACTACATCAAATGACGTAAATGAAAAATGTTATTTCGTGATGTGCACAGGAACTTTCCGTTTCCTACTCCTTCTGCTTTGCAGCAAAAAAAAGGTTATGGAAACTGAAGCTTCCAATAAGCGAATCAAAATGCGAGTTGAAGCTGTCGTCGTCATTCAATTCGCTTACGAACTCAAAGTTATTTCTTCACAAAATTCAATATATGAACGTGAGATTATGTAGATGAAGTGCGTGTATGTATGAAGATGGAGTTATCATCAAGTACTTTCTTCAATAAAATGTATATTTCATCTTTTCATTGAACATGTGAGATTGAAGTAAAGATCTCACATAATACATCATCTTCTTCTCATTTGCTAGCCATTTTTGCTCATTTTTTATATCACTTCCCATTATATTGGGAGGGATACTCATGAAATACTTACGATTCCTCCGATGGTAATGTTACAACTTCAGGAGATGGTGTTGTTGTGCTGCTCAAGTGCTGTTGTACGTTGGAGACTTTTTCATTATGAGCTTCAGCTTCTAATTCTCCAATGATTTCATCAAAATCATCTTTCAAAGCCTAAACGTTCAATGTATAATTCAAATGAAGCAAGCTGAGTAACCGTTGATGTGGGCTGGTCGGGTGTTCCTGACAATGTTCTTGCCCTTAATATGGTTAAATGTCAAAAAAACTGTTTGATGCAAATACCTTGTAAGGGATGAACAAAAAAGAAATATGTTCAAATACATCATGCATATGCACATGTTAAACATCTGAAACATCTCAAATACACGAAATTCAAAGAACGGAAAAGATGGAGCACAACCGTTAAGCTCGTTAGCATAAATATGATATGAAAACATGGAATGAATTGGTTATGTAAATTCAGAATGAAAAGAAAAGAAATAAAAATTTATTTTTTCACGTGAAACATCAGTTTTATCGAATATTTTTAATAATTGGAATACACTCTCTGACATACATTCAAGTATTTAATGAACGAACTGATTATGTCCTTAGGTGAGCATCTACTTTTACTATAACGAGAAGCTACTATTAGAATAAAAAAAACGCCTTCAACTGATTGACGCAAGCTTATCAAGTTTCAGGTTCTTCTCCTTGTTAGTACTCACACTCATGCATACACAGATTTACATCCGCACACACACCCTCACACACTCACACACATACACTGATACATGCATGTATACAACACTAAGTTGAAGGAGTTCAAAAAGCATTTGAGCCCAAAACACTTTTTTTGAGCTTAACAGCGTTTCAGCCATGCCTTATATAATGATATTTCCTGCGATTTTCAATTGTTCAAACCATGTTTTCGATCGAGAAACTCATGGAGAGATATGATGATACCGCTAGAAGTTCGTTATAGAGCTGAGATTCTCTCTTGTTCGTCAGGCGCTTCATGTCTTCTGCTTTAGAGTGTTCGTCAAAAATTAGAGAGAACTGACTTGGCAATTGTCATAAAAACTCTCGAACATATCGAAACAGACGAATAGAACCACTTGAGGTAATATTTGTTTGTTGAGAAGATCTTCTTCCTCTCTGTCAGTCTCTTCATAGCTCAATGTGTAGGTGAGAAAACAGAATCACTAGCTGCAGGTATTTTTGTGTTGTTGGGATTAAACAGCTTAACATATTTTTACTTTTTTTTTTTTAACAATTAAAATGTCATAAATTGAACAATTAGAGAAATGAATCAAATCATCTCATCACTTCCAGTCGGCTCTCGTTTATTAATTCATGTTTCTGAAGCTCAAAGAACACTTGGATGTGGGGATGAAGATGTAATTTCGATAGAATTCTACTGGAACTACCAAGTGTGAAGAGTTAGTAATTAAAATATTTTTTGTAAGCAAGTTCTAAATAATACTTTCACTACGAGACTATCCTCTAGTGAGTTCTTCTAAAAAAACATATAATTCCCTTATTTTTCATACGTACAGCTCATAGTTATAATTTGAGATTCGTCTTAGAGGCTCAATATGGAGACGAGGAAGAAAAAGTGAAAAAATCTCAAAAAACTCAATTGGATTCGAGTTGACGAAGGCTAAACGAGCAACATGTTGTGATAAATAGGATATTTGTTTGGAAATCTTAGCAACAAAAGCATTATGAAAGACATTTTCGTCAAGAAATTTCAAACGGAAGACTGGACGTCGGGGTTGATGATATGTTGTGTTGCGGAGAGAGGAGCATCACATACATACAGGCAGATTTGAAACTGCTGGAACTGACTGCAAAACAACAAGAGGAAGAGACGTTAAGTTGTCAATGGCATAGGAATGCTTTTTTTCCATCTCAAGATGATTATTGTTGAAATCTTTGCTCATCTACAAGGAATCAGAGAAGAAACAATAATTTGTTGTAGTGACAACAGAACATCCGAGCGATATGCTGAACTTTATCCAGCTAGAAGTTTGGACAACTCAAAAATAACTGCGAAAACGATGCTCTTAATGGGAGACGACAGACAACGAATAAATATTTTGCAAACGGCCATGCACAAATCCTTTGATGATTTTACTAATCATCTAATTAGAACAACCTCATTCAATATAAAAAAAATTCTTCTTTTATTCAAAAAAATGATTTCTCATAGTTTATTTACAAATTTTATTTCAAACCCTCTCAAGCAAAATAAAAAATTACGTCGAAAACAGCATTTTCTATTCAAACCATTCATTCGATCCATTTGTTACATCAAATCACTATTAGAAGTTTCACTGTTGTCTCGATTTGTAAGAAATCCTTGAACTGTGAGAGAAGAGGCGATACTAGTCTTCTGGAAGTGATGAGCAACAAAACTTACATGAAAGGTCTTTGTTCCCAAATTATTTTAGATTTCCAAAGCTGGCACAGAAATTTCTTTTATACTTCTTAACTTAATTATCGCGAAGCTATGAAGAGCATTACGAATCAGCATAGAAAAGAAACTTCAGCAAAAAATACGAAAATAATCTTAACGCTTAGGCTTCCCCACATAATTTATTCCTCTCTTTCTCGAATTTCTTTCTTCAGCACCAAAACTTCAGAGATGAATTCATTTCAAACCTAATATCATAATTACCGGTCGGTGTACTTGAACAACCGCAAATTATTAATTTAAGCTCAAAAATGAATTTGACGACCGAAAATTTAATTTTGCTTTCTTTTAGCTGTTGGTGGTCCTTGTAGTTGCACAGACCTTCATTGACAACAAATAAACTTGGTAAATTGAAGAATCTGCTTTAGCACCTTCACAATTGCCAACAAACATGTTTGGTTCTTCAATCTTACTCTTCACTTCTTTCATTCAGAGAAGCCTACAGAACTCTGATTGTAAGAATGACGAGTAAATTGAGAAATCTTTGACCATTTCACGAATCTAATTGTAGCCGCTTTATGATCTTCTTTTGATTCATCTTCAACCGTTTGCTAACAGAAAATCCTGCAGCTTTTGTTCAAACTGAGTACTACAATGGAAAACATTCTGAAATAGAATACAGAAAATTAAAGAGATACCGCTCACACGCTTCAAATCCGCTGGCCAAATAGTGAGCATTCTCATTACCAATTGTTCGAAAGAAAAAACATCCTAAAAAAATAATAACACGTGCATTCGTTGGACAGAAACTATTGATGGTCTAGCTAAGATCAGATCGTTTCAAGAATCAACATGTGTAACCAAGGTTCAATTGAACTGAGGGGTATGAGTCTAAGGAACAAAAAGTTTTCTTAAAATAGAAAGCATGGTCTACAGAGCGTTCCGAGAATACTCTGATAAGTTTCGAGATACGAATGATCGATAAGACGAGTTTTAAACGACAAAATATGACGTATGGTATTTACTGACAATACCAAGAACAAAATAATAATTTATTTACACTGGATCATATACATTCTAACAGTTGAAAAACTGTCTTACAGAACTATATCTTTCCGTTTTGAAACGAGCGGGATATATGGTTCTACATCAACCTGAAGCTGTATATGAGTAAAAAAATAAATTAAAAATTTACTCTATCTCCATCTATGATATGAGGCCTCAAAGCCATTGCTCTACTAGCAGATTCTTTCGTTTCGAACGTAACAGAAGCGAAACCACGATGCAACCCTGTTTCGGCGTCCTGAGAGAAGAAAAACATGATTTATGTGATCGATTTGAACTTACGAAGAACATATTAACAGCTTTCACCTGGCCAAATCTACTGAAGTAATTCTCTAACTGATCTGCAAAACAAACACTAGAATATCGTAAAGAATTTTAGTTTATTACTTCTACCCGTCACCCATTTCACATGAGTTAAATAGACGGTCTGACCTACAACTTGATTATTATGTGAAATATGTCTCAAGTTCCTAGCAAGCGCAGGATAACAAAGCCGCATTTTAAAGATATTACAGCTCCTATTATAGCAGTCAAACTGCACCTGAAAGCACACGTAGGTTCAGGAAGATCACATGATTCCATGAGTTAACGACGGCAAAACGTATTGATGAAAACTTTATTTTCCGCGAAAAAAATAGTTAAAGCGGTCGGTTACTAGAACAAACTAAGCATATTCGTTATAAATTTCATTTGAAACTTCAGAACTAAGCTTAAATGTCTAAAGAAAACTCGGAAAACTCTCTAAATACGGAAGAAACGTAAAGCTCGCATTAATTTTAAAAATTGCAATTGTAAGCTGTTTACAGATGTTGTAAAGAGCATGCAGTAGTGGAAGATGTGAAACCATCCAGTACTTTGAGTACTTCAAATCAACGAGAATACGACGGAAAGGAACATTATTTACTGACAAAAGAGACAAGGTAATACGGGAAGGTTGGATGTAGTCACATGCTTTGTACGGCGTGATGTAGAAGATTAAATAATCGATCGCCTCAGGGTATTTCCCGTTGTCGTTCAAACAAGATAGTGATGTTTCATAGAGAGAATGAGGGCACGAGATATGTATTGAGTATACCTTGTTAAGGGACGCAACAGATGAAGATCAGAAAGTTTGCTATATAATAAGTAGAGAAGACAGTATTGTGAAGGAAGCCCTAGAACTCGCGGATGCTGATCTACCAACCAACAGTGAATACGGTTATGATGAGTACTGTGAAGTAATGTTGACTCTCCACCAAGATGCAGTCTAACACGCTGTTTTCAGGTACATGCACAAGAAATGAATGCTTCTACTCAAGATACGTTTGATATCATTGACGAATGTTTCTCCTTCGCCACAGATATTGTTTCAACTGCCGTTGACAAGTTTGTAATTTTCTAAGAGCAGTCGGGACATGATCATTTTCAGTTGCCCGGATTTCAATATCTTTCCCTACATAATAGAACTATGCTTGAAAACCATCATCTACTTGAAAACTAACCCAGTATGAGAGTATTTCTCTTGTCTATCAAATCTTTTTTTAGAAATTCACATCAGTTATCGTTTCCTTGCTTGTTTTATGGTGGGTTTGGTGTCAGATTGATTCGTACTATTCTTTCCTAATTGCCCATATCGTTCATTCTCTTAACCCGTGTGTTCATTACTTAGCCATAACTTCCGAACAAATATTTCGCCGAGGCTTTCAGCTCTCTGCATCACTACAAGAAGTGTGGGAGGTTAGTGAAGATTTGAAGATTACGGCAAAATTTTGTTATTTAAGTCGTTTTATTGCGACTTCTCAATCAAATGGTGTCGGAAGTTCGAACTAATGTGTGATGTTCAATGTTCCCATGTGCACAGAACGTTGGAAAGAATGAGAAGAATATTTTAGAATAGTCTATGCTGACTTTTATTAATGAATTTCATACTTGTACGCTTCTATTATATGCTTTTGTAAATCCATATGGGAGTGGAGCTGCTTCATTGATAGGAACGGTTTTTGGTGTAACTGTTGGGGTTAGTTTGATAAGTCGCGCTAGGCTCAGCCAGACCGCCGTGATCTTAAGAGAGGTTGTAGAACCTGTGCACTATGAACTTACACTTATAATTACGAAAAGTTGAGCAATTCCGACAAAAACTAAATCACGATAATAGCATTTGTTAGTTTCTGTGAGCATTTTATTTGAAGTACAACTGAGCTCTTGGGTGGTGTAGAACTAAAAGAGAGGGTTGAACTGTTTGAAAACGAAAAATAACCTGTTCAGTGACACGTATACAATTATTCAAAGCATGAAATGTCGTGAAGATCATTGAGAAGCATGTGAAGACAATGAAATGACGTTGATAGGAGAATACACCGAAGATGGACACGAAGAACAAAGCAAGCACTAATTCGTCTTAAGAAGTGTCGTGAATCGTAAGAAGTGTTAAACGTACCGAATAAAGTAACTGGCTCTCGATCCCAGTATATAGCTTTCACGAGTTTAAATATCCATGAGATTGATATGAAGAAAGTTGTAAAAAATTCAGCCGTGTCAAAAAGCATTTGTTAGTAAAATAACGTTTGTACTAGAAGATGAAGTGGAGATGCGAGAAAATCCGACCGAGTCTTACAAGAGTTAGTAAAAAAATGATTTTTATGCCGGCTTATTTTCAACCGATGAACTAACATGTTTAGTTTTTAAAACTTTATTAAAACAATACAGAATTAAAATGAAAGATAATGGTTTCAGTCAATGGACTATGTCAAAGAAAGATTTTTGAGATTCGGTGAAAATGTCTTAAAGTTAAGCGGTCTGTGCACCTTTTCTTTTCTCTCTTTCACCAGTAGATCTCACTTTAACGTTCCTTTTCATGTACGATGTACCTCCACTGCCATATTCCGTCTGAGCGAAACCTGAAGCTGGAGGAGGAAGAGTGGAGGGGTCGGTAGATTCTGAACCATATTCAGAGTCAGTTTCCTCTTGTTCTTCTTCATAAGTGTGTGGTGGTGCAGGCATTTTCGGTCCGTATTGCTCAGGTTGTTCTGGTAGCTGAGAGTGTTCTACCTCAACCTCATAGTTCACATCTGGAGCTGTCACGTAACCTTCTGGAGCCGGGTTTTGATCAATACCAGTCTCGTATCCGGGTCCAGCGTATCCACCTGGTGCAACATAAGAATTCTAACGAATGAAATATGTTAAAATATACAATATTATAGAAACTTACTGCTCCAGCAGAATTGAATTTTGGTCTTGTCGTCAGTTGGCGGTAGGGTTGTCTGTGCATGGCATGTTCTGTTAGTCCTCTGAAATTTGATCTTGGAGCAAGAGGCATCACCACTGTAGGATTTTGTTGTACGAAGTGAGGTTGCGAAGCTCTGCAATACTTTTGTAAATAAAGTTAATACATTTTCAAAGTACCTGTAGGAAACTGTACGAGGGTTATATCCTCCATTTTGGTTGCGACGGAATGACTGGTCAGTGAAGTGGGAAGAGAAGTCGATTGCAGAGAATGAAGTTTGGCCAGGTCCTACAGCGCTTGGTACGAACTGACCATTGTTTTCTCCATAATTCCCCGGGAGAACATAACTGCCCCCATTACCACTATACATCACACTTTTATTACAAAGTTTAAAAATCAAATTAAACTGACCACGTAACTGCTCCTATGAGCGAAGCCAATGCTAAGACTGTAAAGGAGGACATGATGAATTGGATGATATACTGTCATCCTCATACCTTATATAGTAGATGGGGTCAAACTGCTTAACAAGTTCTTAATTGATCAACATCATTCATAATAAGTTGAAGGATTATGGACAAAGAGTTAGATTTATGTTCACTCAAGTGTTATACAAAACGATGTTACAACATGACAAGTTGAAAGCCCAAATGGACACTTTCAAGGGTTTTTTTTGTTTGAAGCTCGAAGAAAACCGAAAAACTTAATGAAACAGTTTCATTAGTCTTATCAGATTATGTACTCTATTAGTGGACACTTCCCACACGCGTTCAATGGGAGACCTCCCGCATTCCTGTGATGAAATCAGCTGTTTCACCATTAAGCTAGTATCTTTAGCTATTTCACATTATCTTATTAATAATGTTTAAAACAGTTTCGATTATAATTCCACAAAACAAGTTTCACACCTCCTTTCCAGAAAGTATGGAACAATGCCAAAAAGAAACAATGTAATATGTCAACACTAATAACATATCTACACTCCAATCAATTAACAGACTGGTACTGACCTTCAAAAGTAAGTTCAATTCAAATTTCAAGTATCAAGAAGCATATATTTAAAATCTATTATTAGCCGTCGGAATCGAAAATAAACCCCTCAGTGTAACTATGACATTTAGCGATCAGGTTGTCACGCTATTTAGTTTTCATCATCAGGAGAGGCCGACTGCTGTGGGAGTCGAACCCCTGAAGTTTCTTGCTGGATAAACATCTTCCGCACTTGACCACAATGCGCATTATGGTATACGCAGAATGAGACAAATCTTTTCATTTCTGATTTCACACTGGTTTCGTGTAATTATATGCTTTTCGAACTAATTGAGTTGAAATCAGATATGTGTATTAAATTTATTAATATATACAAGTAACAACAGGTTGAGGTCTTCAAGCTTTAACTTGCTTGGCGTTTTGTTCATAAGGCGTTGAGATCGATGGGTTCACTTCTTTCTGAGAAATATCATCATAGTTGAAACTAGGCATTTGAGTTTCTGAGACTGGAGCGCTGGCTGGAGCAGGAGCTGGAGCAGCAGCGTCATCGTACTTTGGGTCTGCTGGTGGAGGTGGTGGAGAAGAGAAGACAGTGGGACTCTAAAACAAAGCTGCTTATTCAAACAATCACTAACTGTTAACTCTAACCTGATCCTCGTTATAAGATATTTGAACATTATCTTGTGATGGAATGTTAGATACTGGGCTCTAAAATAGAAAACTAGTATAATTTGTAAGAAAGTGAAAAGTTTACGTTGTAAGGAGGGATTTGAGGAGCTGGCTGGTTTGGTGGCATAGGTCCAGAGTAAGAAGGGTTGGAGTAGCCAGGGTTTTGGTATTCTGGTTTTCCATAACTTGGACCAGCATATCCTGGTTGAGGTTGGATATAATCAGGCCTTGAATATGAACTTGGTCGAGAGTAGCTTGGTTCAGGATACTTAAAAAGAGCAGATTGAAAGAAACGTTGTGTAAATTAAGATACCTCGGGCTTTGAGTATGGTTCAGGTACATATGGAACAGGTTCAGGTCGGCTATAAGACGAGCTTGGAATGTTATAAGATGGTTGTGGAGCATTATATGATGGCATTGGCTCTGGAGCAGAATATGAGCTTTCTGGCATATTATATGAAGGCTCTGGAGCTGCGTAACCCGATTGATAACCAGGAGATGGATAAGAAGGTCGGGCATATCCGAACCTTCTGTATCCAGAGCCGAACAAGTTAGGAGGCCGGAATAAATTTTCCAGAGTTGGATAAAAGCCTAACCCGCCGAGAAGAGGGGGAATGCCATAGCCAAAGGCATTCGTAGTAGTGAATAAAGCACAAACTAATAACAGCGACTTAAACATTCTGTTGAAACTAGGAATGTTAGAAGGAAAAACTTCTCTACTAAGTGGACAGATGGACAAGCCTTATATAGAACCGTCATTTGAGACAAATTTCTTTATTACAGCTAGAAATATTTCAACAACAAAATGTTCGCTGAAAACAATAGATGGTGTCCTTTGTAGAATAGCGCATTTCTCAGCTTCTCCCTATTCTTCATGTGTTCGCCACAAAGCGGAAAGTGACCCATTCAAGGTCGGTTAGCACCTACGCATGATCATTTAGCCAAGAAATGAAGGAAATTTGAAGATTAGTCATGTTTCTCGTCTATTATTATGGCCAGACAGTCGCTTGTGTTAATTAATTGGCTAAGTGGTTCACAGTTATTTCTAGAACAAAGGAAACCCTAAGGGTACTCAAACAATCAAATGATGATTCACAAACTTCTGCAGAAACGTCATGTAAATGTTTCCAACAACTTTTTTGTTTCCGTTTAAGTTAGCTAACAGTGAGAAGGTTGAATTTGATAGTTGAAAGAAATCATTGATACAGAGAACTTTGTTAATCATATTCGCTGATCATTTCTCAGAACTAAGTGTCAATAGAACCACCTATAAATTCCATAAAACATCGACTGTCTTTCCCACACTCTTTATAAAGATTCTTCAATAGTGTTGGTAATCAGTGAATCAGCTAGTTTCCGTCTCTCACTACGCTACTAGTTCACCAGAGCTCAAAAATGTTTTGAAGGAACTAAGAAGTTATCAATTTGCAACCGCTCCGCTTATCTGCAATCGAGAAAAGAAATAAATTGTTGTCACGTAACTTTCACGTGAGTTAGCATGGGGAGTTCCATGTGGAATCCCACTGTAGCGTATTCACAACAAAATGGGAACAGAAGAAGGAACATGAAACAATGAAACAAACATTGGCCCTACCTGTAGTAAGATGATCGTTCTCAGATAAATTTTAGCTTTCGATTTCAAGATTGCAGTGACACTAATAATACTCCCACCCTATAGACTTTGCTTGATCCGTATGCAGAACGAATTCGGGCATCATTACGAACTCGTCTCTATTAATCAATGTTTTCGATAAAAAATCGATAATTGGCATTTTACCTAGTAAATAAGATTATTCTTTGAGTTCTCAACGAAAAACTTGCGAAAATTTTAGCTTTTAATCGTTCTATGCTTTCAGTTTCCTTTTCTAGTTCAATAGTCCGTACTTTGTTCCCGGTTGAGAAGAACTTATCAGGCCATTTCGAACATTTTGAAAAACCTTTCTTGAGAAAAAAAAGGTTACTATATATTTCCAAATTAGAGGCTGTTGCACTTTGCTGTCAGTTTTGAAGCACAGAAATTTCTATGTAAGCTTCCGAAATTCTTATCTGTTTCTCTATGATAACATGACTAATCGTGATCGAAAACAATCTTACCTAGTGCAGGTGAGAAACAACTGCTACGTCTTTGAATTTCATTGGAATTTCGATAGGGATTGTGAGTATTGAAATGGTGTACAGGCGTTCTCATTCCTGTTTTCCATAAACCCAGGATGGAAATACGTTCTGGCTCCTTAAATCAATTCATCGCAAACTATGTAAACGAGAATTTCAAAATATCTCTTCATCTTCTTTCCTTTTTCTAGCGTTGTGCTATGAAAAAATTAAGTTTACTTGCACTGATGGCCTTCGGTCTACGAAGACCCTAAACGACATTTAATGTACCGTTAGTGTGGCGTGATATTTTCATGGCTAATGATCATCAAGTTATCATTATTATATTTTGATTATTCCGATTTGATTAACACTCGAATTTGCTAGAGAACGTATGTGCATCTGGGTTGCAATCTAAAATGCACTGCTATTGTACTTGAAGGGGTCACATCAACCACGTCTTTTCCGTACTGAACAAACCTGCCTCCTTTTCGAATTCGATTAGACTGTTTGAACCTGTAACTGCTCACTTCTAGTTCATAACTTGTATCAATGCTGTTTTCAAAAACATATACTCCAAATTGATCAACTAGTTGCAAATCCATTAAATATGTCTTGTAGCGATTTTTACTGACACCACGAAGTCTCATCGTCTATGCGTTTATCATTCATTTGTTTTGAAATTTCTGGTCTTTGGAATCGAGGCCAGATTAATATTTCCAAAAGTTCTTTGTTTACGTTTATTATTGTCCGTCGTTTGATCCCACATAGATCTCCTTGTTTGTCTCATTCATGTTACAATTTTTCTTGTGAATATTTGTTGCATTTTGATTGTCGTACTATGAATTGATAAGGTTCCCCAATCATGTTTCTCATTTCAATTAACACAACTTGAAAGATCAACTTATACTACATTTGTCTCTTTACAGTTACAATGCCTGAAGATACTTCAACCAACAAAGCTAGCAAGGATAAAATAATTTGTGCCAAACCTTATGTGTAAGTCATTTATCATTGCCTGATTCATATCTATATGTTCACAGAGGAAGCGACGAACAGAGCGGAAGTGGAAGCAGCGAATACTTATCTTTTAAAGTGAGGTTTACATTTGATAATCGTAAAAATTGAAAGTTCTTATAGGTAGACCAAGAGTACATACCCTTACATGAACGGATTTACAAGAAAATCGCCGATGGAAAGCGATTCTTCTCCTTAGAGTTTTTCCCTCCAAAAACAGCAAATGGAGTAGCCAACTTCTTGACTAGGTTTGTTCGAAAGAATGTCAAATAATCTTGTGTCATATTTCAGAATTGATCGTTTCAATGAGGGTAAACCTATGTTCATAGATATTACTTGGCACATGGGTAGTGATCCAGGTATGCATATATAGCCGAACTCATCATTACTATTTATTTCTTCCAGCTAATTTGGAAAAAGAAACTTCGTCTACTTCTATTGCCGCGGCATGTTTAGACTTCTCTAGAGCAGAAACTATGCTTCATATGACCTGCGTACAATATCCGAAAGGTAGAGCCCGTTCTTCTTGTTCAGACCAGACAGCCTTGTTTTTTAGAAAAAACTATAGCTCATCTCAGACAATGTAAGGAACTCGGCTTGAGGAATATCCTAGCTCTTAGAGGAGATATGCCAACACCGGTATGCAAAAAAACTCAAACTGTAATAAAACAATTTTAGGCACCTGGAAATGAGGATAAAATTCAAACTTACGAATGGTGTGCCTTAGATATGATCAAATGGATAAAGGAGGAGTTTGGTGACTTTTTCACGATCTGTTGTTCTGGTCAGTTTTTGAGATTATTCCGTTTCCAACTCTTTTACTTGTAGGCTATCCTTTGGGACATCCTGAAGCTCCAACCTATGAGGCTGACTTGAAATACTTGAAAGCTAAAGTCGATGCAGGAGCTCACTTTGTTATAACTCAACTTTTCTTCGAAGCTGAAGTAAACTACATTTCATCTATGTTAGATGATGTTAATCTTTTTTTCCAGGTTTTCGAGAAGTTTGTAAAAGACTGCAGAGCAATCGGTATAACCGTCCCTATCATACCAGGAATATTGCCAATCATGGTAATTGCCATTTTCAATGATTTCATACTTTGTTATAGGGTTATGACTCTATGAGAAGAATAGCTACTCTTTCACAACTGACCATCCCTGATTCTATAATGCAAGATCTCGAACCTATTAAGCATGATGATGATGCCGTCAGGAACTACGGTACGAAGAGGGTAATTTCAAAGAGTAATACAACTTTTTCAACTTCTTACTTTAAGGCTATCGAAATGTGCCAAAGATTATTAGACAACGGAAGTGCTCCGTCTATTCATTTGTACACCATGAACAGAGAAGGAACTTGCAGAGAAATTCTTAAAGCTATTGGACTATGGAATGAGAAAAAGAACAAAAATCTGCCATGGGAAGCTCATGGTGGAAACCATCCTTTCAGATGTAAAGAGGATGTACGTCCAATTTTCTGGAGTGGACGACCCAAGTCTTACATCTACAGAACAAGAGTAATCGTTTAAATTGTCAAATCAAATATATATCTCTATTAAGGATTGGGATGAGTTCCCCAATGGACGTTGGGGTAACAGTTCTTCACCGGCCTTTGGTGATCTTAAAGATTATTATTTGTTCCATTTAAAGGTACACTGATTTGGGATCTCTTTATATGACAGTAACTATTCAGGGACAATGCCCAACAGATGAACTTCTCAAAATGTATGGACAAGAGTTAAGATCGTTCGAAGATGTCAAGCAAGTTTTCGTAGACTTCATCACTCAAAAACCAAACAAAAACGGAGTTACCGTTCGTTGTCTTCCTTGGTCTGAGTTGGATTCCGGAGTTTTACCAGAAACCCAATTGATTTGCGAAAACTTGTTGTGGTGTAATCAGGAGGTTCCAATATATACTGTTTTTGAAAATAATTTTCGATTTCTTAGGGTATTCTCACTATCAACAGTCAACCGTCTGTTAATGGGGCACCTTCTTCTGATCCATTAGTTGGTTGGGGAAAGCCTGGTGGTTATTGCTACCAAAAGGTTGTTGACGAGTGATCAATGGGCATAATTCTTTTCTATAGGCATACTTGGAATGCTTCCTCCCCAAAGAAGCTACCCAGGCCTTCTTGGAAATCATATTTTCATACACCCCTAGAATCAACTACCACGTTATTAACCACGACGTAAGTAACATTCCCGGTTGATCATTTTACTTTGTTATTATCATTCAGGGCTCATTCGAACAAACGAATGGGGAGGAAACCACTCCAATCGCTGTTACATGGGGAGTGTTCCCCGGAGCAGAAATAGCTCAACCTACCGTTGTAGATCCATTATCCTTCCGTGCTTGGAAAGATGAAGCATATGCTATGTGGATTAAGAACTGGTGAGTTCTATGAATGGTAAATCATGTAACCAACACTTGTAGGGCTTCATTATATGGAAAAGACTCTGCGTCAAAGGATGTTATTCAATCAGTCCATGATAACTTCCACCTGCTCACTCTAGTAGACAATGAATTCATGAAAGATTCAGTCATTTTCGAAATACTATCAGCTGTAATAGAGAAAGTCAAGCAACATTAAAAAGTGCCTTACTAACTTGGAATACACATTAAACCTTAATACCCTGTCATGTTGTTATTTACTTTTTTTACATTCGTTTTTTCATCGCAAGTTTGTTATGATATCAATTTTCTAATAAAATTCTTGTTCATTCTGAACTCAAGGTCTGAAGAATCAAATCAAGAATGCAATAAAGATAAAGAAGTTCAAGCACAGTGACCTATAACAACCGGTCACAACAGCATACACCACTGAAATACGCACTCACGTGTACAACATGAGATATTCTAATTTACGAGCGCAACTTCGACACCATGTCAGCATCAGCAATGTTCAAAAACTATCACATATGATAGACAAAGGGAGAAACTGAATTTTGAAGTTTATTCGGAACTCATAAGTTCATAGTTCAAATTAAAAAAAACGCTTATTACAAGTAAAAATTAACACACATAGTCAACACCCATAAGAGTTTGAGAAAATAAGATTCAAGGTTTCCTAAGAGAACCATTCAAATCGTGTTATTAAGCTATGCTTTACAAACTTTAAGACGAAGAGTTACACTCACACGAAGTAAAAAGTGAATTCGACCATCATTCAAAACGATCAGAGAATATGGCACAGCCTATATTTTCCGTTGAACAGTCATTTTGGTTATAAAATTAGAAACTTAACAGGAGACAAACTGACTTCGGTGCATGATTAAGAATCAATTGCTGCTTATAAAAAAATATTGTACAGGTTATTCAATTAGCACACATGAATGATTCTCAACAACCGTAAGCAAACGACGGCATATACACATGATGCGGATTGCAATGCATGCTGTAGGGCCGAGGACGTCGGCGACTATCAACAGTATTTGAAGGATCAGAAGTGGGCGAGCTGGAGAGAGAGCATTTCTTATCAGAAAGCCGCCATGTGCTTTCACGCGAGAACGTATTGAAGCCATATGGTGAACGCAAAGTATTTCTGAAGATATATTTTAAAAACATCTGGAAGAATTTTACATACCCCATAGTATCATGCTTATTAATATCTGCAGGGTTGAAGCCGTACCGCATGTAATACTGATCCATATGTGGACTGGGTGGGAAAGGTAAAGTACTACAGTAACCAGGTGGAGCGGGAATACTGAAAATGCATGAATGAGCAACGACAACAGATTAATCAAGCTTACTTGTATGCTGGAGGCGGATACGGAATAAACGGATAGTATTGATACTGTGATGGGTAGGCAGGCCGTATAGTGAGAATCAAGTTGGCCGCATTGGCAGTCATAATATCGGTGACTTGATCTAAGGTTTTTCCTGATATCTGAAATGTTATCAAATTAGCTGTGTCGAGCGAAGGAAAAAAATGCAACCGCTTTAGCTTCCATTTCATTGATAAATGAAGTGAAGGACATCAAATCAACAAACTCACGTCAATTCCGTTAACTTCCAGTATTTCATCATTGACATTTAACAGATTAGTCGAAGCTGCTAACCCATGAGGTAAAAGACGCGAAATGTAAATCGTCGCTACTTGTACGGGTCCCCAAGCGCACATACGAGTGGTGTAACCTGGTACAGTTGAATAAACCAAAGGAATATTTCAGAACTAACCATTACGAATAAAGAAACCAAGAGGTTTGTTAGGATATGTTTTGCACAACTGTACTCGACGTAGTTCCAATGGTAAAGAATCTGCGTCTAATATACTCGAAACCTGAATGAACGATAATTAACGTCGTGCAGAATACGAGAACAACGAACTCTTCTGAAGTCTTGTGGGGATGAAATAGAAACTGATTTCTTCCGCTTCTGCATAACAGAGTCTGTGATTCCGTATCCAAAGCGTTCTTCCAAAGATTCACCCTGGAATTGTATAACGTAGAGCACAAGTACAATATAAAGTGAGGAATAGGGCGAATGCCTTCTATCCGGTTGCTTATGATTAATCCAGCTAAATAGAAAGCGAGAACATCATCTGAAGTACCTTGTTCCGGAGCAGAATTCGGAGTGTTGACGGTCTTTCGTCGAGTGCTTTTCGCAGATTCTGAAACAACCCAAACGTAATGGTTAAAAATGATTGTTTCTTTTCCTTTTTCTGATGTAAACTATATATTTGTTCTTAGCGATATGGATACACAGACTTGGACATGAATCGAGACACTTGGTCTTTACCATTTTGGTCTCCCTAATCTACAGATCAGGACTTGTCCAGCTATTGTTTAGAACGCTTTCGAAATTTCAAAAAAAAAAATAGGAAAGCAGATGAATATTTTTAAACATATGGCGATTTTTTTGAACAACTCATATCTTTGTTTATAATCTGAGACATCTGCAATTATAAGCCCAGGTCAAAAAATATGACAAAATCATCAGAGCAAACAGGAATGGAAAAGGAACTTACATCATCATTGGATATGGGTAGAGTTGTTCCGTCTTTGGATATGTATGAGACAGTGGTTGAGTCTTTCTGCTCATCAGTAAGTCTAGATTGATAACGATTTATGTTGTTCAATGAATCAGGAATGTTATGAGAAACCCTTAGTTCGTTCTATTGTTTAGTACGAAAGGTGTTTCCAGCTATAATTCAAGTTGAAACTCACTTATGAATAGAATGAATCATTTCCACAAATTCATCGCATGTTGGATGAGGAATCCCCGTTCCGACGGTAATGTTAAACCTACGGAATTCCGCTCCATAACTAGATTTGATTGCTAGCCTCATCGACTCCTATGAGATAGAGATTAAGAAACGAAATTGAGAGATGAGAAGAAACAAAAAACGGGGAAGCAATGTGACTATTCATCGATTCGGTTAATTTGGATAGAGGATTTGCAAGTCAATAGGACAGTCAGAACAGAAAACCTGAGAAGATATGACTTCTGCTAACTACAAAGGCGGAAAAGAATACTGCCGATTGTAAAACTGTTCAGAATTATTAAGCGCGAAGAGAATGGAACAAAAAAAAGTTTCATGAACAGCATTGTGTACATCAGTAAGGATAGGGGAGGGGATGATGACATGTTTAAGAAATACAAACTGAACAGAGTAGAATCACATGTGTTAACAAAAACATATGATGAACTTTAAAAAAATCATAAAAAGAGAATTATAAATTGGCCAAGACGATGGAAAGGAGAAACCACAAAGAAACCTAACCAGAATCTGTTGAATTTCCAACTTGGTGATGTTGTTTAAGCCATTCAAAGAACGAAAGGAACGCATTGCAGGCAGCTTTTTCTCTTTCTTTGGCTTGCGTTTCAATCTCATGATTGAACTACTATAAAAGGTAATATAGGGTAAACACATACATTAACCCTTGCCAAACACATTCTGTGAAACATTAATAGGTTAAAACACATCACTAGAAACTGATTGAGATTACATTTGAGGTAAGTGAATACAAACAAGAAAGGGCATAGATGTGTTAAAAGAAGCACAAAACAGCGAAGAACAAACGTTATCGAGGAAATTAAAGAGAATAATGGTATGTTCTGGTACAACAGCCCAAACAAAATCAATAAAGAATATTGTTTAAAGATGTTGACAATAAAAGGTTAAATGAGAAAAAGGAGGAAACTATTTCATTGAGTATCTGAGTGTGAGGATATGATTCAATGGGAGAAATAGAATGGACAGTACAAATGAAAAGATGAGTCGAAACAAAAAAAAAATAGTGAACAGTCTGAGGCACGCCAAGGGTCCTTTTAAGGATGACAGGCAAGAAGTACCGAGCTCTTTCGGGCCGCAGAGGTCATGTTGTCTAGCCTATGCAGGTATTTTCACCTTTATATCCTCTTGTGGGTCGGTCATATAGAAAATAGAAATAAGGACCACCACACGGCTTAGAGGATTTAGAGGTCGACTCATGTCTGAAAGCAAAATGACCGTGAGTCTACACATTACTACTGAGTGACTGTTAATCCATCTGAACAAATGCCTAAAGCATAATCGGTTCTAATGAGAGCATCTAGAACAATGCTAAACATAACTAATTTCTTGAAATATTTTTAATATTTGACCTGAATGAATATAATTCAAGGACAAAATAGTATTGGAGCAAAGATATGGTTTAAATGGTTTAACCTTATGCCCTGATCATTGTTTTTTATATCTCAATCGGAAAGTCAACTTTTTCTCACGGTAACCCCTTTGTAGTTCACTTTCCGACTGTTTCGCGCCATAAGCGGGAATATGATCAATGATATGCTGAAATACCTACAGATATGAAAAGGCATGGCAGAGTTTGTTTTCAATTAGGAAATCTATTATTCTCAGGAACTGGAGTAGGTCAGAAATTAGCATACGATGACGTAACAAAGTACAGATCTCAAGTCTTCCCGTGAACAACTATTTACGTGAAAAGTTCATTTGAAATATAAAATTCGGGAGGTTCGGTTGTAAAAAGCTGTGATTGCTAATAAAAAAGTGTTAAACTAGCAGATTGGTTTTTTAAGTGAAAATAAACTGACACATCGAAGATGAAAGCGTAAGCAAAGAGTTAGACACAGCTATCAACCAACAACTTGAAGGACATACAGTAAAACTAACCTGAGATTAATAATGAAATCAATTTCTGGATTAATATAGTATTCTGATGATTCAATGTTGCGGACACGGAAAGATTAGATATATTGTTGTAACAAAGTGCTGTTTGCTGTCAGCATTCCCGCTCTTGAACAAAATTAATGTTCTGGAGCCGAAGATGTCTTTTGATATGATCTGAGCAAAAACCATGTTGATACTAGAAAGCCGTTTGTTTAGAACTAATTTAATAAACTATTAATCTGAATATGATAAACAGTTACACAAGACCAATTTTTATTTATATAGTGTAGGTTAAATGAACCATGGATCAATATACTCGTAAATGGCAATTCTACATAAACGCTAAGATATAAAAATTCTAAGGTCCAAAATCTGACTATTATTCTTTCTTTTTAAATACCGAGAAGTTATGAGATGCACGATGAATTTGTAAATAGTAAGCATAAGTGATACAACATGATTAAACACCAGGTTTAGTTCTCTGAATCTCTAGCATCTTCATTGCTGCCTTCCGAGCTATCCGCCTCAGATGGAGGCAACTGTAGAGATGAATCTTGGAGGAAAGGGAGAATATCGGAAAATACCTTCGAAGACCCAGCTTTGAAGGCCTTTGTTATTCCGGAAATGTTTATTTTTCCTCGGCTGGCTACCAAAATATCACTTCCTATCAAATAATTGATTGGTTAGACAAAAATAAACACACAAAAACCTTCTTCATTATTAAACCCACCTTTCCTCTTGTTTCGAGGTTCGGAAGGGTTGAGTTTTGTCTGAAATCAATCAAGATTGGAAAGATTGGTATGTAAATTCTCACTTGAGCAATAAGAGATCTGAATAAAGTGACTTGTGCTCTCTCGATCATAATTTCACAGTTCTCAATAATTCTGAAAAACGATACTAACTGGCACAAACTCAGCCAAACTCACTTTCTATAAGTATCTTGTCGTGGATCGGCTTGATGCATTCTCACTATGCCTCCAATAGAATCGATTTTAGCTTTGAGTTGATCGCTATCGATAAGCCTGACGATTTCGCTTTCAATCTACAAGGTTATTTCAAAAATAAAGAAATGTATTCGAACTGGACTGACCTCGTCTTCTGTGGTTCTGAAAGCAAAAGCGACTTCCTTAATCGAAGCGCAAGAAAAGGGAATTAGGTACTGTACAAGAGCCTAAAAAAATTGAAATTGTAAGCTTTTCCGAAGTGAGACTCACTCTTTCGCGTATTATGGCAATCATTCGCTCGACATGATCGGCAATATAAGGGTCCAATCGGAGCTGAAATTGCGTTTTATTTGGCACCTGAACAGAAATTGAAAGTTACCTTATCTGTTAAAGCAGCAAGGGTATCAAAAACCAAACCGAATCGACTTCCAACGAAGTTTTGTAAGAGCTCGACAATTTGAGGTTCAGATTCGAGGAATTTTCTACAACTATGATTTTACACACGAGACGATATGAGTAAAGTACCGGCAGGTAGCATCGCTTAAAACTTTTTTCTTGATTTCAATTCTTTCCAAACTAGCTAAAGCAGTTAAAGCAGTGTAGTGCGCAATTTCTGAGGAGTGAATAATCCAAGGTAATTCTAGCAAATCGACATCAACCTAAAGAATCTATCACACAAACAAAGTTCAACAAAAAAATACTTTTATGAACTTTTCTGCAGCCTGCTTATACTTTCCCGCCACGATTTTCGACAATCCACTAATAGCATCAATTTTGGCCTAAATCACTTAACATAAAGGGATACAGAACGAATGCTTACTCTGCCCGAGGTGATCAGTTGTCGATTAGATTTAAATCCTTGTAAGGATGATGTACGATTTGTCTTGTCTCTCTTAAAGATATGATTTATTAAAAAAAATGAGGAAAAAGAATTACTGATTCAGCATCATCGGCATCGTGGATGCATCTTTCTGCGTTAGATATTAAGGGATCTACTCTAGCCCATTCGTTTGAAAAAATTATGACTTCAAGCCATTGGAGATACATCTAAATCGTTGAAATATTGATAACTACAACACTAGAACAGCCTACTTGTATCATGTGTTTAAATTGACTGCAATACTCTCGCATACCACGTGCATATAGTCTAAGACAATCTGCATAACAACCTGTAACTTTATAATGTTGGAAAAGCTCGAACATAGCTCGACGAGTTGATTCCTATAATAAAAAATGAGGTTAACAAGTGATGAAGAATAAAAATTACTTTAACTCCTTCATCTTTCTGTTTCTTATACTCAGTTAGGAGGTGATCTAGTCGACTACCACATGCTGCTTGGGTCTGTTCAACCCAAATGGCATCAAGAACTGGTATATCGAAATTTGTCTTAACCCAGAAAAAAGTTAAGTCGAAGTATTAGATTCACTCACGTGTGTTGCATCCAAAGCAGCAAGTTGTGGGAATAACTGAGCATAACGAATTGTGTTGGAAGAGTCCTCAAATAAAGAAGTAACGAAACTCAAATTGATACGGTGAAACTGACTTTGCGGAGAGCATTAATTAAACAAATTATTCCATCCTTCTCCAATGGAGGACAATGATCGATAATATATTGCAGCCTCAAACAATTGACTAATCCTATCATTAATCTCAAAAAACCTTTCAAAAAGAGCGGGTCCTGTATAGTTTACTGTTAAAGCTTCTAAATCTACTGCTGCAGTTTCCACAATATACTCTTTATCTGGTTTATTTTCTGAAAATTCAGAAGTTTTTGACAGAAATTCCCAACGTTGACCACCTTTATAAACACAAACATCAGGTTGACGAGGAACAGCCTCCTCTGGTACTGGAGTTGATTCTCGTTCGTTTGAATCATAACCAGGGTTAGCGTTAACCTCGAGATATTCCATGTTCTCTTCAGGTTCCTCATTCTACATAATCATCAATATTGTAATTATCAAGCATTTCACTACCATTTGTTCATCGAGTAGATCTGGCTCCATCGAGAATGGATCAGGAACACTTTCAGCCATTTCTACAACTATTACAGATATATAAATATAATTAAATAATACAACTTTATAACGTTTTCAGAGTGAGAACCACCCGAGGTTAGAGAAAAAGTGGCGCACTCGCTCGGTAAACAGCATGCACATTGTCATTCCATACTGCTATGAAGTTCATATCACCAAGAAGGTTTTCGGCGTTTCATTATCGAATGTGTTGTTTAAATTGAGCTTTTTCAATGATGTATTTGTTTTTATTTTCTAACAACACGATGGAGGCAATCAAGATGATCACTAGGAAGTTTCACTTCCGCTGAGCTTGTTTGAAAATCCGTCTGGAAAAGCATTCTTTTGCAGAGCTCCCTCGATACGTTGTTTATTAGACTGTGGTCTTCATAAAATTATACTTTATGTTATTTCATGTACATCGAATATGGACAAGAAACATCTTGGCGTCAAAGATTAATTGAAGTTGGAAATTTTTATGTTTTGCTTTTCACTAAATGTTAGATCAGAGCTCATAATCTGTGAGTTCAAGATTCAAAACCTTGTCTTCTCCGCGAGTTCATCATCAGTTCATTCCGCACCCGTCAAGCATGTTCGATACAATGATGAACGACTGCTGATGATCGGCTATCTGTAAAGATTGCAAAACTACAAACATTCAAACATTTATTAGTTTTCCGTATAACAGCTAGAAAATAATATTATTAATGAGATTACTACCCGATGTCATATTTGATTGGATGATATCATACAATTTTGCACATGGTGCATGCAATTATTATAAACATGAGAAATCCATTTTGGATTAAACAAACGTTGAAGGTTCACTGTCCGATTTGTTCGAGAGGAAGTGATATGAATCGTTAATCCAGTTGAATATGGACATCTCAAAAAAGCATTTCCTCACTCGAGCATTGAGAATGAGGAAGAAATAGGGGAATGTTAGACAGAATAGATCATTACAGAACGGAAGTATAAATATTGCGAGGGCCCTCTGCATAGAATCTTTCGGGGTTATGTAAAGAGCAGCCTGAAAACAAAAAATAAGCGGTGTTTGATTCTAACACTTCAAACCATAGTTATACTAGTTAGTGTTTGGAATGTAAAAGCCAGGAAAGTGACTGATAAAAGATTGAGTTCTCTCTTGTAGTTGGAACTCATTGATCGCTGACATAGAATCAGAATGGACGATAAGTTCAGTATGACGCAGAGGATGGTGATGACACATTGGAATATGGTCAGTTTTAATAGGTCGTCATCTTGTTGCTGAAATAATTTGTTGATTAGTAAGCAAGCAATAACTTACAGCATGAGATGAGATGAAGTATCCATCTAATTCCCGATTATAAGCGTAATAACTTTTATTGAAAAGGATTCCATAACAGAATGGCAGAGGGAATAGTAGAACAAACACAACTGTAATCCAGAAGTGGATATCCCAAATCTGTAAATATTATATTAATCGTAAAATGTTTTTTTTATTTCGTGATTCTTACAGCTTCCCTAGAGAAGGGACAGGCAATAGATCTTAATCTATTTAAAATCATTAGAACAATTGTTAGATTCTTAACATAACAACTGTAATAAGTCAGGAAATGTGCGACGGCCAAAACGGTTGGAAAAGGAAACGAAGCGAAGAATTCAGACAAATCGCTGTTCTGATGAATTTGTTGAGGCAAACGCACGGTAACATATATAGCGATATATGATAAGATGTTCTGTAAGAGAAAAAGTCAGTTAAAGATTAGGAGTAAGTGTTGTATGCAACCGGCTGTGATGATCTTAACATTCAAGATGAAATGAACGTTTTGAACGGAACGATGATATGCAAATCAACACGTGGCACAAACTTACCACAACACCGAGTGTAACAAATATTTTAACAAAAGATGAGTTGAAATAGCGTCGTTCGCGAACTGTTAAGTTGATAACAACAATATAGAAAATGATGGATAATAAGCCATAGACATTTTGAATAATGAAGAACCACATCTGAAATGAATTTTCTTTTTCAAATAAGAAAGTCAAAACATTGGTTGATTGAATTATTTATGAAACTTGACAAAGTATTGATTCATTACTTTGTCAAAATATCGAAGGATATGAGAAATCTATGATAATAAAACGTTGTTTATACAGAGGTTATGCTCACACTAGTAACTTGATGAAGTAACATTGACGAATCTCTAGGGAAAACTGGAAGAACACACGAAATGAATGAAAATCTTTCTATTAAGGCTTCTATGTAAGGAATGGAAAATAAAATTCTGAATGACGAATGTACGAGACAAATAGTTAGGTTTGAGAAACTGAAATGAATGTAAAACTAGTATAATATGAGTACATTTAAGTAATGGTTAAAACAAAGCTGATGAATATCTTATTGTGTACGTTGTTATGAGTGACGCTCATTCATATTTTGAGCTTCACTAGTAAGAACAGACAAGCTTTTCTGATTCTGTATGCGATCTGGATGACTATCACAATGTCCGAACATCGGGCTATAATTCTGTGTGACATCAAAGAAAGTTCGGCTCAATAGTGTTTTTAATGAATGTTATTGTTTTTAAGTTCTTTGCTCTTAAGCAGGAGCCTTGAAGATGGGCTGCGAACAGTAGAGAGATAATTGCTCTGCAACCGCTCCTAATGCGTCTTCACTCAAAATAAATGTAAATTTGTTTTGCGAATGCAATTCAGGTTCACGTGAAGTTACACGTGGGCAGATTAACATATGAGAATGATGTACACGTTATACATGTTTCAACAAAAAAAAGCTCAATTACGACATAATAAATAACAGCAATTAAGAAGAATAAGTGTGATTAGTACAAAAAGAAGAAGAAGATAAACTTTTTCATTTTCTTCCGTTCATTATCTCTCTTACTCTATCTAACAACTTCTTCCTCTCACTCTTTCTCTCTAACAGAAAAAAAAACATGTTTTCTTGAAAAGTTAACGTTCATAGTTTTGTCATACTGCATATAAATATGCAGTAAATAGCGAAATGGATCAGTTGAGAGAGGTAGTGAGATAGATAGAGAGAGGGAGAATGAGCTCTGTAGGCAGTCTCTTTACAACTAGCAGCCTGGAGGGATATTTAATATCAGATTACAAAGTAAGCAATATTTTAAATATTTAAAGATTCCGATAAAGATATAAAAAATTAGAGCTTCTGCTGACATCTCAAACAATTAGTGGTTATTTTGCCACACTCTATTGTGTGCTTGAAAGCGTGATGGATGGCAGGACTATGCCACTCTACTTTAACTGTTTCATTTCGTATACACTGACATGCGATGCAACTACAAACTACATCTCAATTATGGAATTAGAATGTAATACTTGGCACGATTATTGTTCAATGTTTTTGTTTTATCAAGTAAGGTATAATCTTTGAAAAACAGTCATTCTTTGCAATAAATGACAAAAACAGGATATTTATGAGTGTAAGGGACAGAAGCACCACGATTTTCCAATAAAGCATTTTCATGAAGCTTTTCAAAGATGCTTTACTCTGCCACCTCCTTCTCTCTCTGAATCTCTCTATCTCTCCGTACATATCATTTTACTTCCATGATATGAAAGACGCCTTTTTTTTAATTTTCACTCAAAGATTTGGTTGAGAAATCTATGCGCTTAGTTTGTATGGTTCGATTGAAACGGAAATGAAGTAATCGAGGTGGAATGAGAGCAAGTTATTAAAGGAAACTATGGAATTGTAAGCGTTTCACCGACTTGACGACTATATTACTTCTGAGCACGATGATGAAATCAGAAAAAAGCAGGTAAAATCATTTTAATTAAAATAAATATATTTTGAATTGGATAGGAAGAAAAAGATTCTATACAAATGCTCTCTTGGAAATACAATTAGTGATGTACTAGCTGGACGTGATGGATGGACGGAAACGACGTATGTTTCAAATTAAAACTTTATTGAATGTTTCAAATCAAAACTCCTGGCAGTCAAGTTTTATATTTCTTCAAACATTTTCTTATTTTTTAAGAGCAGACGATTGGAACTTCTTCTGGACAACACGTGAATGGATGAATACCACATTCGATCGTTTCAAGTTTAAAGATCGTCAGTTTGTGTGCCATTTCAGAAACGACTTTGAACTGACAAGGTAGAAAGACAAAAAGCAGAGATCACAATAAAGAAACTCATTCAGAAAGGATTTTTTGATCAAAAATTATAAAAAAGCCAAAAAGTCTTTGGGAAAGCTGGAGTTGAAACAGGATTACTCCTATATCCCATCCAGCTATTTGTTACCTGTTAGTTGGAGATTTGACTGAGATGAAAGAGACAACGATCCATTTATAGTCTGAGTATCATCTATTTGTGGAAGAATTTCGAAAATATCCTCCTGACACAATATGGATTATGAAGCCCGTAGCCGGATCACAGGGGAGAGGAATCTTCTTATTTAGAAAGCTAAAGGACATTCAAGAATGGAAAAAGGTTAACCTCAAAATTAATAAAATACTTAATGTTTCGAGATGGAGAGACAAAATGACGAAATTGAAGAGTTCAACCGTTTTGTCCGCCCACCCCAATTCTTAATTATTATACGTCAGTATATGCGAAATTGAATTGAAAAAAATTAATTTCGTCAACATCAAAACAATCTCAGCTAGAAGATCAAGAGAGAGCAGAAGCCACTAACGTGTACTCATCTGCGAAATGACTACTATAAAAGGGGATTAAAGAAACAACATGAGTCTTAAGTACCCTCGTCATCTTCAAGACGATGTGGTCAATTCATCATGCAAAATTCTTAAATTTTTTTTTTCACAAGCACATGAACGAACTTTGTTCCAATCAGGGCAAAAAAAGTGAAATAAAATTTCGAATAGTATAGTATGTACAAAAGTTGAAACTATAGTACAACACTTATAGAAAGACACTCATGACAATGATATTGTTCCCTATGTTGTGCAATGCTACATTCATAATCCTTACTTAATTGGAGGCAAGAAGTTCGATTTACGCATCTATGTTCTTGTAACAACTGTATGAAAGTGTGCTATTGAAAACTCACATCATTCCTTTTCCAGTTTCGACCTCTGACTGTGTGGGTTCATCGTGAAGGATTTGCACGTTTCTCTCATTCGCCATACTCAACTGAGGCTGTGGATAATGCTCGTAAGAGATTTTATGTGATCTATCCTTTCTGATGGAAAAAAAATGAATTAGGGTGTAAAAGTGATTCTAATATGCACTGTTATTAGTTCTGAAATGAGCCATTTTGAAATTGCACATTACATTGCAGTTGTGCATCTAACGAATGTGGCGATAGCAAAAACGGCTGTAGACTATGACCCAGAGAGAGGATTGAAATGGAGTTTGGATAAGCTATTTCGTTTCTTAAGAGCACGTCATGGTCAAAGCCAGGTGATAAAAGAAATCTATTCGAGATAAGCTCGATGTTTCAGATTTTGCAAGTTATGGACGACATTGCAAATATAATTCTGGAGAGTCTACGTTGTGTACAAGGATTGATAATACAGGTGAGTAGAATACAACCGACCTCATCACGTCATGCGATCAAAATGAAAATACAAAGTGAGTCATGCCCTTCAAATATGCTAATTTGCTGACGTGATGATGATTGTTTGTGTAAAAATCTGCATTTCTGTTGAAAATATCTTGCAAGTCGTGAAAGTAAACGGTTTAAGGACTCACATTGCTTCGAAATGTATGGTTACGATGTTCTTTTGGACGCAAATCTTAAGCCTTGGCTTCTTGAAGTAAGGCTTCAGAACTTCTATTTGTTTGACGAATTGCTCTGAAGGTTAATGCCAGTCCATCTTTGACTGCTTCAAGTACAGAAGATTTCCAAATGAAATCGCGCGTATTAAACAACATGCTGGATATAATTGATTTGGAACAACGGTTTGTTTTCAGTTATGCTTTTACTCTGAGTTTTCGATCAGATTAAATGGGCATGAGATTCAAGTTGGTGGATTCGATTTACTTGTTCATGAAGGAGACGTTATCAATATGTTGGTGATCAAACGAAATCAACAAGAAGTTTTTTGCTTTGCAGACCACGTTCGGGAATACTGAACCGACCATCAACCATGTTTTCATCTCGATCTAATCTGCGCCTCGGTAATTTAGAATGATTCCGATAGTTCTTAACTTCGTGTGATTCATAGGAGATTACTTGGAGTCTAAGAAAGCCTGCCCTAACACGTGACCTACGAATTCTTCAATGGTCTTTCTTTAATTACAATCGCGAAGAATTTTACTTCGGAGGCAGTTTCTGTAGGTATCCTCGTTTAGACAACAAATTTTACTTTTCTAAGCCGCAAAACGCAAAACACAAATCACCGAGCTGTAATCTTATGAATGCTCTTCTCGGGAAGATGACATTGCTTCCACATCCCAGATCATTCAAAATTCTGAAGACATACTTCTTCCTCTCTCTTATTTTCTATGTATGATATGAATTCTCAAAAAAGACAAAATCCTTTATACAAATAAATAAAATAACAACAAAGTTCATCACAACCGTTTTGTTTTCATTACTTGATACATGTAATTCTAAGATATTATCAATTGCTTTGAGCTAACAAATATAAATTGTGCCAATTTTTTTGAGAATTTCAGAGTTAATTTTTAGATGAAGTAGCATTCTCTACCATGCTCTTCATTTCACGCAAGCTTTCAACAATATGAGTGCGGAAGCGAGCAGTATCCTGGAAACGATAATTTACATGAAGATCCGTTTTCTCGCTAACAAACCGTATTTTTAAGAGATTTCCATGAAGCGACGTGGAAGCTCAAACAGTCACCAGTTGATCCGATTGTATAACACACGCCTTAAAATGAAAGCGATGAATGGATATTGACAATTGCCCATACCATAGTTTGATCCCTCAGGGCATGCGAAAGCTCCTGCAGGCCAGAATAAGTCTTTTTCTTTATTCAAAGCTTTGGAATATTCTGTTGTTTGGTGTTGTGGAGTTTGACTAGTTGACAAGGCATAGTTCATGCTGAAAACGTTGTCCAAGAAAGGAGAAGAAATTTGATAATATTTGGAGACGACATATAGAGCGAAGAGATGACGATCAACTCCATTTCCTGAAGAAACCGGATAAATAATGTTCGAAAAAGAGTTTCTTTCATACCTGCCATAGCGTTACGGTAATAATCTTGATGTCTCTCACAAGCCTTGTGAAGAAGCTTCAATCTTTCCTCATCTTTGACTTTCTCATTGAGCATAGAGCGTACGAATTCGCAAGATTCCATACTACATGAGCGAACAGTTTCCGTTCTTCCGTCTTTGAAGAGACGCATTACAGCTGGCTCATAGGTCAATTCGAACTTTTGTTGATCCTGTTATGAGTAGAGAAAGTTTTAAGATCGAATTGTATGAAATGCATACTTTAAAGTAAGCCATCTGCAGAACCATTTGAATGAAAGCGTCAGGGGAAACTTTTGCTTTCTTCATGAAATCTTTTCCATACTCTGAGAAAACAATAGCAGCGTTCTCCATGTCATCAGCAACTCCTCTGGATACTTTGTAAGCTTCATTGATGGCGTCATTCGTCTGCAAAGAATGATTGACAATAAGCTTGAAACTATGCAAAATGACATACCTCCTCGTCAATACTCCAGATCAATCGTTCAGCCTTGGGAACATATTCAATATCACCGATGCAATGTCCGTCTGGCCCGTATGGTCTGAAGAAAAAATTAATTTTGGTTACTACTGGTTCCCTCACTTGTCGAAGGCTTCATGATATTTGAGATATTCACGGACATGGACATAGATCATGGCATCCACAACAGAATGTTCCGCATTCGAAGTGAACTGAAAAGACTGGGAGTGGAAAAAATAGAATCTGAAGCAACTAACTCTTCCGTTTTTGCTGATAACATATACACTAGGCTTGTCGCACCACAAAAGATATCCATCACCACCCAAAGAACGTGTGTATTCTCTCTCGTACTTGGAAAGATCGTTCTGAAACGGAAGTATTCAATGGAAATTTCATAAGGAAGTAAATACCTCATCATAGAAACGCTCTTCTTCGTCCAAGAAAACAATTTCGAGCGCATTCTCAATCATGGCCAGAGATTCCTTATTTACTCCTTGAATTATTCATTTAATTATATTTGTTATATTTTCCAGTGATACCTTCGGTGAACTTGTTTGCTCTAGTCTTAGCCCAAAGATCTCTTGGTCCAGCTGTCAAGGCTGATAGATACTTCTCTCCGTATTGACTACTTGGCTCATCATCAATGATTGCTTGGATGGACCTGAAAAATGAAAATTATGAATTTTCCTCAAGTAAGCTTTTACTTTTCGAGTTCAGCTGCTTTGATGAGACGACGACCGTTGTAAATGTTAATTTTGTACCAACATCCCTTGGAGTAAATGGCAATATGTTTAGCGTCGGGAAGGCGGACCATAACATCGCTCGTTTCTCTTGGTAAACGAATGGTACGGTTATAATCAATGTACTGAGTGGCACAGAGTGGGATTCCACCCAAAGAAATCTGAAAACATTCATTGAGAGAATGAAATCTTTTCGATTATACCGGCTTCATTGTATTCTTGTTGAACATTTCCATTAAGAACTGTTGTCTGTTCAGAGTTACCCATGCTGCACGAGCAGCTTGATTGTTTGTTGTTGGACGATAAACAATGTCTAGAATTTTTGAATTAACAATAAACCAATTATTTCGAGTTACCAGCGCAGGCTACATTTGTGTTGATGAGAGAATTACGATAACGCATGTAGACAACTTCCTTCCACCAATCTGAGAGCTGAACACTCCAGATAAGAAAATAAAGTTTCCTATTAAAACTCACGTAATTTCTTGAAATCAACCATTTCATCCACAACTTCCTCTGGAGTCCTGAAGCAATAGTACTCTTGAATTCCTCAGATTGCTCTTTCATCACATTATACTTCTCATCATCCAACAGTGGTCTGACTGTTTCCAAATACTGAAAAGGACTAGTTTAGTTGACAAAGTTCGAAACTCTGCTAACTTTTTCAATGGTGTCGTCAACTTTTGGTGGAATCATCCATGGCATAAGATCTTGGAAAGAGAAGTATCTCGCTCTCTTGCTCAACAAACTTATAACCAACTGAAACAATGCTTTTTTTACTGACATTCCCTCCAATTTGTTTGTTTACCATGAAAGCCTTGGTTGGGAGACTGGGTGCTTTCCCGATGCTTTCAAAAAGCCAGCCATGATAGTAAAGCATCATGGTGATTGAGAAGCGAACAACCATCACGAATGTCAGAATGGCAGGAACAGCAACAGTCAAAACACATGTTAAGTGCAAGAGGAGAGAAGGACTGCAAATAAAAAAATAAGAGAAAGAACCAAGAAAAATGAAAATGAAGACAACCGCTTTGTAACTAATGAGCACTCAAAATGAATTATGTTCAAACGGCAGGGTCAAACGGTCAAAACTCGAAACGTGTAGGTGCAAGGGCTGTTTTATCTCTCAGAAAAAAGTTCAATTGATAATAGCCCTTCGCAGTATCTCATAACGACCTTTAGACCTGATTTTTGAATAATTGACAAACCTCGTTACAATCTTGGCGACTTCTTCTAAGACCTTGGTAGCCGTAGATAAGGGGTTATAGCCAATAGCATCCAATAGTACCCACAATCCCAGGACATACAGAAGTTCATTCGGATGGAACGGGAATAATCTGTCTTGTAACGAAACCTATAATAACAAAAACTAATAAATTTTTTCTGCAATGGACAAGAAGATGGACTAGTTCATCAATTTCATTTGACGTTAAGAGTTTCAAAAAATTTCTCAAAACGAAGCATTCTGTTTTCATCTTTCCCTTCTTTATTTGTTTCTCTATTTCGAACTTGCTTTTCTATTTTCGTGCCTTCGCATTGCTATTAACAACATTTGTTTCTTTTCTTTCTTTCGCTTCTGTATCCTGTGAACATACTTGAAGCACAGGTGTACGGTAGCGAGAAGATGCTCATAAAGAAAAAAAAACAGAAAAAATAAATATTTCTTACAGTCCTACAGTTTTAAGCAGTAAATAGAAAACTTACAGCTAGACGTTTCGATCTTCTTATATATTTACGGAGCACGTCGTTGGAGCCCTCCGAAGGCGACACTTTCGGCATGATGATAAATTCGGGAGTCTTTCTGTAAAAACAATTTGAATGAGAGCTTACAATGAAGAAAAAGAGCAGAGCAGAAGAAAATGTTTCAAACAAAAAAAAAGGTTCGGAATAAGGAAAAACGACTTGTTACTCAACATTTGAACCTAAAACATGGCTGAGACCGAATGAAAAAGGACTCTCTTGGTATTATCCTCATTCTTTTTTGGAACCACACGTCCAACTTCCATGTTTGAGAACAGAAAAACAGAGTTGTTGTTTTCCAAATTGTCTAGAAGGGTAGGCAAGAATAATCAGATGGAGAAGATTTGGAATAAAAACGCTCGAGATTGGTAGCCAAAAGAAAAACCGCATGGGTTTCACACAGTCTTTTCAAATCGTTGGGGTACACGATCTCAGTTCCGCTGCTGTCGGATACAAAGCAGAGAGTTATCTCGCTGGTTATGTTGTGATTTCTGGGAGACATTTGTTAATCAGTGGATGGTTTCTCAGAAAGTATCAATTATAGGCTGATTATGAAGACTAAATGGAAGAACGGAGTAGGGGATGTGACTTGACAACGCTTTGTAGGATGAAAGAAGAAGGACTAGCTCTCTCTTAGTCTGTTGGGGCGGAGGGCAAAGTCCACCAGCAGACAATTAGTGTCCGTCAGAGACAGAGGCCAAGCCTTCGAGAGATCACAACGCAATGAGAGAGCAAGCGAGAAATGCATATAAAGAAATGCCCTAATAACAGTAATGAGGAAGAGACGTAGACGATGAGGGCAATACATGAGGAAGAGACTAACCGATATCCACATAGGTTAGGTATTTTTCAAGATTATATTGAGTCTAAGATATAAACGGAGATATTCATTCAACTCAAAAGTTTGCAATAACACGTTTGCTCTGAAGATTCAATACGAAGGCTTGCTGTTTGCACTTTATTTTTCATTCAAGTTTTTCAGTTTCTTTTTTATTTTTTTTGTTGCAGTATATCTGTCCTAATTTGGAGTAGTAGCACTCCATGAGGATGAGATAGAGATATATGACTATTGGTAACAATTTTTTAGATATTTTATTCAGAATCAGTGAAAAAGAGCATCTCATCAAAACAAAGTTTTGCCTCCTCAACACTATGTTTTGCATGAAATGAAACTTCAATACACAGACACAGACACATACACATACACACATTACGTAGTCTTCATTGTTCACATTAATTTTAATTTTTTTTCATTTCAAAATAGAAGGGAAATTAATTCTTTTTCAGTTTAGTTAAGTTTTTTTTGTTTGATTTCTCGTCTGACACTTTCATGCTTGTTAAGAAGGAATTGGAACAAGTATTCTTCAGTCTATCAATGCCTTCAATGGATTTGACGAATATTGTGTTATACACCTCTCTCTCTCCATGTTTGTAGTTTGTTTTTTTTATAAGAAAAATCAAAAACACTTTCTATTGAAAATGATGTTTTATTGTTTTGTTGTAACAATAATGAAGTATTTATCGTCATATCTTAATATTATATAATTTGTTGATGCAAAAACAGTTAGAAGTCGTCAGTTTCGTCATCTAATACATACGTTTGTACATATGCTAATTTTCATTCACGTGAACTTGTGCACGTAAATATTCATTTTCCACCCACATGAAAACGCATAGAATGGTTGTATTCGCTTTTGCGCTCATAACAAAAACCCCAAAAACATTAGTCGGAAAGAGAAAGTCCGAAGGGCTTTTGAATTTTCGCCCTTTGGACTAATTTTCGATAAAAGATTGATACGAGGTACTTTTCTGATGCATGATAAGCCATGTGTTTGGTGAGATGCTTTGGCTACTTATCGTTGTCGAAAAACTGCTTGACAGCTGTCGCCCCACATGGCATACTGTTAAATTCCAAAAGTGTTTATTCTTTAACTAATATCAGTAATGAAAGGCTTTAGGAATTTTTTTTTCTGATATAATACAAGGTATAGCTGATTAGAGTCGAAAGTCGACAATTAAAGAGAAAAAAAAAGATTTTGTATAGAAAGATTAATAATCCTTTAATATGATCAATCATTCAGTCAATCATGATTGAACTTCATTTGTATTGCTGGTAATGAAAAGAAAAAATATTTTCCTTTTAACAAAATATTTGAGACAACCTTCATGTTTTTGGAAAAAATGTCACGCTGCCACTGTTTCCTTCCTACTCTCGCTCATGCTGTCCATGCCAAAGAAAGGACGACTGAACTTGCTTCAAGAAGTTTCAACCCATAGTTTCTTATCTTATTTTGGAGATATGACAGGAGAAAGTAATACATGGTTTTTCCAATCTATCTAACACCGGTTTCTCTCTCGATTTATCAATGTTCTAATTACGATCGGAGTATATACAAAATGAAAAATAACTCCACGAACATTTGTTTCATTAGTCGTTATCATATCTAGATTTCCTGCCCTCTTCAGCAAATTTCTGGGAGTTTGAACTTCTTATCGTATCACGTTTTTGGTCTATCTTACTTATATGGGAGAGTCTTCAAGATTTAGTATGCTCAGCGCTGTTATAAGCACTTGAATTGACAGGAACGAAATTGTCGTGAAGTATAGTCGTCATTGAAATTAGAAAACAGTATTCTTCGGAAGAATAGTTTGAATAAAGTCACTAATTCAGGTTCTATACTACCTTTTTCATATAACTATAAGAACTTGAGAAAACGAAAAGCAGACCGACTGTGATTTTTACAAACTAGATGTAATGAGGCTCAACATGCTGACTGGCCGGGTCGACTACTTCAGAACTGTTTGACTTGACCAGACCACAGCCGGATGTACTGCTCAAAACAAACATTTTTGTTAAAATTCTGGAGACGTATATAAGCTGAAGTTCCGACAATTATTTTATAAAAAATACGTTTTAGCTACATCATGAACTCTAGTCTACTAACAGCTTTACTATTCTTGCCTATTTATTATGCTTACAACGATCGTATCCTGAATATGAAGCAGTATATAGATCCTAGAACAGGTTGGTAGTAAAAATATTTTAAATTTGAGAATTAAAAGAAAAGACTGCCTCATGCTGGAATCGAACCAGCGACCTTCTGTTTACTAGACAGACGCTCTGCCCCTGAGCCAATGAGGCACACGTGTAGTTTAACAAAAGATCTTCTTGTCGGCGGACACTCACTATGGGAATTTAATATTTGATCACAAAAAGAAAAATTATTGCCTTTTCACAAGAACCGTTCCGGAAAACATCTAAAGCTATAATTTGAGAAAACATTGATTGGTGTGCATACTGGACCAAGTTGGGAATAAACCGGAAAGAATGCATGCATTTGCTACAAATGACAACAAAAATTGCTCCAACAACATCAGTCACTGAAGGTATTTTCGAAAACTTCCCTTCTCAGAAAATTAGAAAAGAGAAGAGTTGTAATTGATTTTTTCCAGCTCCAACTCCTTTTTGCGTGAATAAGTTCCGGAAATCGTCTTGTGTTCCAGATAATCGTTGCGAATCAGGACTTGTAAGTTAAAAGCAAAATAGTCGAACGTGCGTGCAGTGAACGAAAAAGCAACCGCTTAAGCATTTTGAGAAAAAGCGGAAATGAAAATGTACGACAGACGTGGAAGAGAATGCAAATCTAAATAAGCAAAATAATCGTTTGTTTTGATAGTTGTGTACTGAGATGCATGCTGCTCAATGCTGTCATCCACCACGTGGAGTATGTCCAACACCAGCTCAAATAGGTTTTTCTTGTATGGTAAATGAACATATGAGCTATGAAGCAAGATAACGATAAATAACATGATTGTAGGTAAGCAAGCCGACAAGCTGGTGTGAGAGCGACGAGGATTGCGGCAATAAGGATCAGAAATGTTGTCCAACAGGTTGCAAATATAATATTTGTATATAATACTGTATTGTTTGAATAAATATTAAACCAAGCACAACGTGCCTTCTGTGCATATCCATGAAAGGAGAAGAAGAAAGAAAAAAGAAGTTTGAAAAGCTCAATTGAAATAAGATGACATAAGTCAATTCATAATTTATATATTTTTAAGGAAAAAACATTGACATACGAATACTATATCAGCGTTTTCTGTTCATTTGCTGATTCATTTCTCTCCATCTACTATGGCCATCTCACTATTCGACTTGCCACCAAAAAGACGACAATTTATCTGAACATTTGACTTTTCTTTTTTTTTCTCTTTTTTCTCTTTTTCTTTCCCCTTTTTTTTCGTCTTTTCGTTGCAACAAAATATTTACAGAAATTTTCTTCATTTTCGCTCTCTTCTTGCTTCATCCTTCTTCAGACTAGATTTCTAATTATCAAATCGCTCTTTGTATGATCAAGTAAGTGAGTAGGGTTACTGATGCCTGTGCTACTGCTGTTGGTGGTGATGCTGCTGCTGCTACTGCTCAGGCACACTTCCTATATCATCGAGACGTGTACAGAATCAATTCATTTCCCTTCTCTCTCTATAACATCTTCTATTCCACTATTTCAGTTTATTTTGAACACTTATCTCTTTCCGTCTATAACATACATAAATTATATGTATAATAATGTAGTTAGTTTTATCAACTTTTTCGTTTTGGTAGGTCTCTTTGTGTTGGATTCCCTTCACTTCATTTCCCTTTGTTCAAATGAAGAGGAAAGAACATAAAAATATTTGAAAAAAAAGAAGGAAAGTCTTGAAAGAGAGCAGCACAACTGTGTTTTTTGATGACGAGGAAAGAAAAAATTGAATATCGTTGTGTATTGGCCCTTAATTCTCATGAATAATCTCATAGAATCATTGAAAATAAAAAATTAACTGCAAGTGATCATCTCAATTCATTTTCATAATGAGATATAACAGTATCTGGCAGATATACTGAGCTGCATACATGCATTCCATTTGATTTAGACTACTCCAATGTGATGGTTGTATGGAATGTTTGCCATTTTGCTTCTCATCCACTACCCCAATTCATTCAATACGTTCGTTCAGTTCTGTTCGTTCCTTCTTCTTTTCCTCCTTTTTTCTTTTTCTCTCTTTTTCAGTCTCTTTTTTTTTACAAAGTTACTTCTTTAGATACAAGCAGGCTCATAAGTAGTGTTTATGACAAATGGACTGCTCAATCCGTTTTTCCTCTGTTTTGTATTGCCAAAAGAAGGGAGAGGAGAGAGAGAGAGAAGAAAAAAACTTAAAACATTCAAGACTTATTTTGTTGTAAGCTGTACACCTCCGTGATTCCGGTAGATACGAGAGACAATTCTGACGCCTTTTATGGATAAATCCACAGATGTTTTTTTTGCCTTTTCACATTGTTTCTATCGTGCATGCGTGTGATTGTAAGATGATTAAGAGATGAAAGTTTGATAGAATAGGATATGGTTGGGCTGATAACATGATTTGAGGAATGATAGAGAGAAAGTAGTGAAGATCTTTCTCTATTTTGTTCCTCCTTTTCTCTCTCTCTCTCGGTTGCATAATCATCATAACATCTCCTCATCTATTATGGTAATTTTCAATAAACATCACAAAAAGAAAGCAAGGAAGGAACATATAAACAAAGAAACGTAGATCACCGAAACATTTAGAAAAGATCCCTTCCTCTCATACATTATTTGTGAGAAATTACTTGAATATCATTTTCATAAATCACTAACTATACGTATTCACGTAATAGATATATGATCTAAGAAATGAGAGAACAACCAAATGAGTCGTCTGATCTTTCAAATATGATTTCACCAATTCAACCACGACGACATTTTTCACACATTTTTCATCTCATAGACGTATGCTAATGAACTTCGACAGAGCTTTTCAATTATCGAAATCAAACTTGTATTATATGATTCTCATCATCAAACTTAATTGATTCCACTACGAAATGGATAAAAAGTTTTTTTTTGTGTAACCAATCGAACTACTTCTTGGAAATCCGAATCTTTAATGAGAGAATCTTAGTGCGTCTGGTGATTGCTAGGACACTTTGAATTGAGATTAGGAATCAAAACATACACACACATACACATACACTCAGACACATTCCGAAGAAGTAGCTTAACATTTAGAATATTTTATTCCGTTTTACTTGTGTACAACGACGTTTTATATTTATTTGAAGTATGAATGGAGACTGATATTTAGAAATAGAATGTGTATGAGAACGTCGAATACAACTTTTATGAAATTAAAGATTTTCGAATAAAATTTGCCTTTTTTGGCAATTTAGAATAAAGTACACAGAGAGTTTATTGGACGTTTAGAAGAAAACAGTCTTTCTTTCCTAAAATACATTTACATCAGGTCTCATACCATTTAAGCTTGATTGTGAAAACCTTTTTTTCCACTTTCTCAACATTCGTTTTGAATCAACCCAAAGGAATGTGGAATGTTGTCAGCTGAAAGTGTTTTTGAAACTGAAAATTGAGAGATTAAGCTGCCCAAGTTGTTGCAAAAGATTTCCTTTGCATAATTAAAAACAATAACTGAAATGATTTTTCATGACCAAATATAGTTTCGGCCCCCTCTTATCCCTTTCGTAGGTTTCTTCAACTTCTTCTCAAAGGAAACACTTGCTTAAACTCTTGATCTGCCTTTCGACTTCACTTGTTGAAAGACATCCTTTTCTTGAAAAAGGATGGCTTTTCTAACTTGATTATGATTCATGTAAATGACTTGTAACTCATGTCATTTGACTATAGGATACTCCCATGAGACTCTAGTGAACTACCGTATTTGGAAAAAAGGCATTTGACGTCATATTGGTGATGATATTTTGAGAGTATGCGGATGGTTATCTATATAGTTGGAAGAGAAGTGAGATAGAAGTTGTGTAGGTGGGCTGGAGAAGAAGAAGGTGACCCAACCCTTCAAAACTCACAGCTACAAATCGATTATCTCAAAGACATGCAATTAGGCGAGCTTTCAACCTTCTGAGCTTAACAAGACCATCTATGGTAGCGAGAATGTATACATTCAATTACTTAGAAAATTCATATCAATTAAAATGATAATTAAAATGTTTTGAACGTGGAAAATGTAGTAGATGATGTGTTCATTCCCACTGTGTCCTCGGAACGATTCATGAGATACAATCACAAGAGCAACTAATTAGCTATTTGATTAGAATTTTTTTCATATATAAACGCATAGGACTGGTTCAATATGAAATCCTACTGATTTCTCCAGCTATGACGAATATCTGTGAATAAGTTATGTTTTTGCTGAAAATCACTTGACTACCTACAATGAGAATTTCTTTCTTTCAACTTGGATCACACCTGCTGATATGTATTCCGAACAAGCAGGGCCTTCACCCGCTCCCAAACTCATGAAATTCGGAAAAATTATTCTCTCATGTGCCGGCTCATTATTCATATGTCTCCTCTTCCGCATTACTTCATTATAATAAAACTTAGCAACTTATCACGTTTACTACGCTTTTTGAATATTCAGCTTCTTCATTTTCATTCATTTCACAAAAATTAATATTTAGCTTTTCGTCATATAGGATTATCTGCTTATCTGACATGATATCATTCTTTTTGAATATTCATAATATCTCTTTTTACCATACTAAGCCTTTTCTCTTTTTTCCCTTATTCGTCTTGTCTTTGTTCTCTTCACCAAATGGGCGGGTCCACTTTCAGCTTATGCTCCGCCCAGTGTTAGCCTCCCCGTTCCCCTCTCTCTCTCTCTATTTCTCTTATCCTTTCATTTGTGGCAGCATAAGCTTCTCCATATATGAAGCGAGGTTCATTTCACCTCGTCTGAGCTTTGAAGATAGCAGCTCCTTTTCCCCATTCCTGTGAACGTCCAAATAACTCTTTTCGGAAGAGGCGTTTGTATAGCTAGCCATCTGTGAGAGAGCAACGTGAGTTTCTTTAATATTGAACAATAACGTTCCAAAGCCATAGTTTTCATTAATATTTAATACTATTTTGCGCTTTAACCTGAACAGTCAATCAGATTGAAGTTGAGCTTTGCGCCAAACTTTGGACACATCAAGCAGCGATAAGATATTACGTTTCGCTCAATTGACTATTCACATAGCTGCAATTAGTTTGCAAAAACTATTTCTATCCTTCTCAGAATGTGGAAAGCTTTAAATCGGAAGCTCGTCTTATCTATAATCTTTCACCTTAGATGGAACTCACACATTGACAGCTAGTCGTTCTCTAAGCTTTCGATCTCATTCTTCTCCTCACTCCCTGTCTCACTCTCTCGCTTTCTCTTTTCTACAAAAAACCAATCTTAATCTTCTCATTTCAAACGATATTTCTCAACAACAAATAGCTCCAACTAATCCGGATACATTGTCCTTTTATGTCTCCAATTCTAATATATCTTACATATTTACCGTAATTTAGAAAAAAGCAATTATTTTTTATATTTATACGGACACAAATCGACCGAATTAGTCAGAGCAGCTTCGAGCTAATCGGCAAAGAAATATTTCTCAGCTTCATCTATCCGTATGGATATTTGTCCAAACATGGTCAAAGGCTTCAATATACTTCTCAGAAAACGAAGTTCCTCTTTTATCAAACAAGGAACTGAAACCATATTTCTGTTTCTTCGAAAAAAATATCATCGTTTTATCCGGCAGTCTTTGAGCGATTAGAAACATATGAATTCTTTTGTCAACAGGTTTCGGTTCAGACATTTCAGTTGTCGAGCTCTCTCCTTACGAAAGCTCTCCAGACTATATCTGTAATCCATGGCACACGCAACACGAGAACGTGCAGGTTGTTTGTGTTCTGTCTCGCTCCCATACGCAATCTCTAAACATCAAACGTTTCCTTTAAAGAAGGAAAAGCTTTTGGAAATCAGTTTGTCTTCCTGGTTGAGTCTACTTCTGCTCTCTCGTTATTCCTTTTCACCGTGAAAAAAGTTTGTCTTCTAATTGCCCACATCTATTTCCTGTTCTTCCTAATACATGCTGCTTTCATACTCCAGATTGAACTTCACATCTTAACGAGGTTCTAGAGCGTTAATGACTTTATGATCTCTGGCACACCTGTTAATTCTTTGAAGAGGAATTAAAATTGAAGATCACAGGGATTGAATTCAGAATGTCAATGAGCAGGCTGGAAAATCACATGAGAGCTGATGAAGAATGAAAAAATGGAGAGAGAGAGAGAATAAGAAAGCCCTCATCTGTCAGTCTAATGTATCGCCCGAGCCATTTTCCATTTTCAGCTGGAGGTACTGAGAGCCCTTCTTCATTTCAGGATGTACCATATCCTATTTTCTTCATATTTCGACAAATCTTCAGACCTTTTCGCCAAAAATTTCCTTCACGAAAAACCATTGTGTGAAACCGCCCCCAGACAATCGTGCCCAGCAACGAAATTCAACGAGTGAACCCACGCTCTCTAACCAAAATCTATTTCGAGTGTGATGAAAACCATGAGTGCTGATTGTTCTTTAATGAGCACAAAGGTCTCCACGTTACAGCAGGACGAAGGTGACTAGAGAGGAAGAAGGAACCTCACTTTTTTACCCAACTTCTTCCTTTTTATAGTCAAAATCTATTTTTCTTTGGCCCATCATTCAGCCAACTGATGCATACACTTGTTAGTATTTCCAAACACCTGGAAAATCCGAGAAGTACCTTTATTACATATTTCATAGTGTTTTTCCGTCTGCTTTTCTTTCACTTACTTTTGTCTCCAACTTTCTACATCTTTACTTTGTTGCTCTTTCCAGACTTGAGGATGAAAACGGCAATTCTTCTGCTCCTGGGATCCGTCGTTGTTGTTTTGGCTACCAATGATCAATTCTCCGGTAAACTTTCTTCATTATAACCATGAATGAGAATGAACGTTTAAGAAATGGAAAAGCGCAAATCGGCTTATATGAGATTCGGCCGCTCTGATCCCGATCTTGTCAACGCCGCTGCTGATGATATGGATGTGCAAAAACGGAAAAGTGCCTATATGAGGTAGAGAAGAATGGGACAACCTTTCTATAATTCAACATTCCCTAGATTTGGAAAACGTTCTGATCCTGAACTAATTGATGATGAGAGTATGGACATGGAAAAAAGAAAATCAGCATTCATGCGCTTCGGCAAGAGAAAAAGCGCATACATGAGGTGAGTGTGAATTTGGCTCATCACACATTCCGCTGAAGGGAAAGAAGAGATGAACTTGAAACAAACAAAATTTGGAATGACGATTCATTTTTTCAGATTCGGAAAGCGATCTTTCGATGATAACGACGATGAAATGAGCATGGAAAAACGCAAATCTGCTTACATGAGGTGAGTGAATTATTCAGAACTTAGTTGACGACGAAAATTTTGAAAAATACTTTGTTTTGTATTCGACAGACCGTGACATGTGAATTTCAGATTCGGACGTCGTTGAGGCATTGATGTACCCGTAAAAACGAGATCATAGGACTTCTATTTCTTTAAAGATCCACGTAACATCTGTTGCTGACGTTCCTCTGAAATAAACAATAAAATGGGAGAAGCCAACGATTATTTGCTATAATTCCTTATAAGACATGTTAAGTTCCTTTCCGCACAGTACATAATATCCAATAAATTCATGTTGTTAACTTACTTTTTTTCTTGTATTGTTCGAAGAGCGAAGACGTCTCTGTCGAAGATTTTGTCTGAAATCCAAAAGTAGATTGAGTTGAATAAATAACTTGGAATATTCCAAATTTAATCAGCACGCCTCATTTCACCAACAGATAAGGTTTATACTCTGCACGTACAGGAGTAGCCCAACGATCTCTTTCATGTTTTTTTACTTCTCCCTCTTTAGATATGCTTCTAAACATTACCGTAGGATTTGTTAGAGAAGACGGCTTTTTCTCTTCTTGTCTGTTTACCATGTTTGGCTTTGGGCTAGCTGATCTTGACTTCTAAAGGTTCAAATGACTGCCATTGCTTCTCATTTCAAACAAACCGGAGATTTCACGTCACAATTGGAGCAGATGAATATCCATCCTAAATCAGTGGCCTGTTTCAAATCAATATTAGGCTGATGGCATCTGTCAATTTGCTGTTTAAAAACCCGAAAACGGCTTCCACATACTTGATGTGGTAGTTTGTCTGACAAGGCTCACAACACACAATCAAATTATTCGGCGTGCTTGTTGATGATTCGCAAATAGAACAAACCTGGAAGGGAAACAATTAGATCTGAATTTTAGTACCTTCGAGACGAATGGGCTCAAGCAATCTCCAAACACCCTCGTGATTGTTTCCATTAATCCCAACCTTGGCTATGAAAATTTGCGTTGCAAAACAGTGGAGGACAAAAAAAACTATGATCGTTTAGAGACTAAGATTCAAGCGAGAGATTGTGTCGCCTATGTACACTTAATGTGTCTGAGTTCCTGTGAGCACGATGTGGAATTGTAGAACTCATAAGAGATCAAAAATTACGCGATTGTCTCGACATTTGCTACTGCCATCTAACTACAAACCTTCTCAGTTTCAGAATCGTCATCTTCTCGTTTCTTTTCCTTAAATACGGAAGTTGAGCAGAAGAGACGAGAGAGCAGGAGTTAGAACAAACCTTGGATTTCATACCAAAAGATAAGAGCTTTTTCTTCTCAGGATTATCAGATTTTGGTGGCTTAGGCTTTTCCAACTGTGTTTTTTTGTGCATTAGAGCCTTGAGTGTTGCTTCATTAGTTATTTCGTCACCGCTATCCCAAAACTCATCGGATGGCTGTTGTTGAGCTGCTTCTATCTAAACACAATTTACGAAAAGTAAATTGTTCCTTCTTCATATTATTACCGTTTTGAGCATTTCTTTCATTTGATCAAGGGCATCAGGTTCATTGGACAAAAGTAATTTACTCAACTTTCCATAATAGTTTTCTCCAAAAGGGCATGTACTCTTTCTTTTCAATCCTCCACCTGTCACTGTCAAAGGACCAGCGACAGACTTCGGTTGTTCCATGTACTAAATAAGGAAATACGAAACCTTACTATAATCTAAATCAAATATTTCAAATGAATAAATAATCAGTATTTTGAGCAAAACGTCAGTAATAAATTGTTTATTGATATGCGCAAGATTGAGGCGGGCTGTGAGACCACTTGAGTGAATAATCGACAGTGGCGGGATGAGATACATCTTTAAAAAAGATATGATGTTTCGGAACTATAATACATAAGATGGTTTGTATCACTCCACAATCTCCAACGAAAATGACGATTTTGCCTGATTGGCCGCATTCTTCTACAAATGAATGTTTTCAGGTTTCATTATGCTCGCAAGAAACGTACCTCTCGGGAGACCAAACTCTTGACTTTTTTCATAGCCGTATTAGGTGTGTTCTCTTGTAATTCTAGTACGAACTGCATTAGATCTGATGGAACCGGAGAAGAAGGACTAGTCTTGCTTCCAGCTAAGAAACACAATTAACAGAAATAACAGGATATTCCCTTACTCAAGTATGGATGATTTAACAACTGATCGATAGTTGCTCGCTTCTCCACATCTCGTTCCAAACATAACTTAATAAGATATTATTCCAACAACAAGCTATTTTCCATGTTCTCACCTTCAACGTCTCGAGTAAATCATTATCTTGACAATCGTCAAATTCAATTTTATACGAAGGATTTGTGATTGCAGCCATCTAATCACAACGGATTATGTTTTCGATATCGAGGGGAATAGTTTACCTTCATACTTTGGTTCTTGATGTGATTGAAAGGAAGAACACCATATACCATGTTATACAAAATACATCCCAGTGACCATACATCTGATTTCAGAGGCAGCTTAAAAGACAAATAAGATAATAATATTCTCAGTACATCTGTATAAACCTTATATTTCGACCTATCAGAACAGGAAAAACTGAGAGACTCGGGAGCCATATAACTCAGTGTTCCCATTTGAAAATCCTTCAATACTGATGTCTGAAATATCGTCGGTTTTCTTCACATCATTTCAAATACAAAACCTGATTCTTGGGAATAGACGAAGCTATGCCGAAATCTATAAGCTTGAGGTGACCTTTGACCAGCAAGAAGTTAGCAGGCTTGAGATCAGAATGAACAATTTCTATAAAACATCTGTTTAACTAAAAATCAAAGAACTTGAATCACTCTTGTCATGAATAGCTTTGACGCATTTGAGCATTTCCTTCCAATAAAACTGAATGAAAGAAGAGTCTATGCTCTCCTCTTTAAGCCGAGACAAAAGATATGTACAGAAGTCGGTTTCTCCTTTCTCCAAAACAACATAAAGTAGATTTTCGCTATCCCTAACTTCACTGAAGAGCTCAAAGGTTTAAGTAAGTTCCAAAACGAAAAAGACTTACTAATCATGCATAAAAATAACGTGGTTAGTACCTTGAAGATCTTCTAATAGCCTGATTTCATTCAAATAGGCTTTTCGAAGTTCTTCTTCATCACCTAGGTCTACAACCTTGATGGCATATAATTCATGCGTATTCTCATCCATCGCTTCATAAACCTCAAATGCCGAAGCGATTAGAAAACTAACAAACGGATTACACTTACCTTACAGCTCCCTCCTTTACCTAATAATTTAATTTTTAAAAACACCCTGCCCTTCACCGTTATCGTGTCATGTAATGATGGTACAGAAGTTGCAAGTTTTTGACTGATAGGGGCAACGACGGGCTTGGCCTTTAAAACTTATGATAAACAATATTCTATTCGTAGCAAACTCACACTTTCGTAATGTGCACTCTGACTCCGCTTTCTCAAACTATGACTATTTTCTTTGTCCCCTTGCCTGAATGTTTAGTTGTGAGCAAAAAGTTTGAATTAAATTACCTAGCCTCTCTTAAACGAGCAGCTTCCATATCCCCTTCTTCAAATACACGACGACTATTTGAGCTGGGCACTCTTGGAGGAAGAGCAGTAGAGTTTGATGCTCTGGGTGGTCTAGCCACTGAGCTAGAAACTGGAGGATTGGATGGGACTATCTGCAAGAAAAATAGATCCAACACAATCAAGAATGATTACGCACATTACTAGAATCTAAGAACTTGGTTCCAGCTGGAGCTGTTCTGTTCGCATGAGATGTCATAGAAATAGAAGCCAAACTTCGATCACCATTGTTCTCATCTACAACTTGTTTAGGAAACTATACGTCACTACTTTCCCTACTTTGAGAAGCTCTCTGCAGTTCTGATAATTGTTTCCTCTTCTGTTCTTGTATTCGTTTCAGTTTTTCCACAAAGGACTCGACCATGCTGAAGCATAACATATAGCAAAAAAGAAATAACAACAGCAACATTAGGAAGATATGAATAACGAATAACGCAATTCCAAGACTCGAGGCGAGAACACAGAATTTTCGATTTGTTCAGAAGGAATAACAATAACGACAGCATGAAACATTACAAACAATTTTCTAACGGTAACTATGAAAGCCTACAATGACTAAAACAACAATTATACATAAGGTGGCATATGTTCATCATCTTCACCCTCTGCTTCTCGCAGAATTCGTTCTTTGTAATCCATATATCTGATAGGATGAATATTTATATATATCATTAAAACGATCTTACCTGTATTTTTTATTGAGCGGTTCAACTCTCTGTAAGTGGCTAAGTAGCCTCTTCTCTACTAAATCAAGAGCTTTTCGAGAAAAAACTATAGTTTCATATTTCAGTAAAGAATAACAATTGAGGCCGTAAACTGGCATGGCATTGAAAGAAGGAACACTTTCCAAGCCAGGGACTAATCCACCCGATATCTAAAATTGCAGACTTTGATTATTGAATCATAAGGATATCCACTTCGTCTGTATCATTCACGAACAAAACTGAATAGCCCCAGTTCCGCTTATCAGCCAAATCATGTAAATATTGAGCATCAGCTTCAGGTAAGTTATCAAAACTGAAAAAAAAAACATAAGAGAGTTTCATTATAATTCAAATGAGACACAGCCGGTTTTACAACTGCAGACATGAAAATGATATTTTTATGAGAACTGTCCACGTAAGCAGACAAAAGCGGGAATTCAGAACTTATCTTACCTGTCCACGACATGAAGATCATCTTGTGCATGCTTGATTGTTAGTGCAGTACAGAGACCTAGAATGAACTTGAATTAAGATATTTGTACGGGTTGTTGAACCTTGGATACGAACAGAATCTGGGAGCATATAAAACCAAGTTCTAGGACCTCGGACACCATGGGCGAAACCTCCGTGGATGAAATTGGGCGCTCGCACAGATCCAACATGAGCTCTACCAGTTTTCTTCTGAGGCCAAGGTTTCCTTCCTAAAAATGCCAAACTAAACAACTTCTGAGAACATTACAAACCTCCTCCAGGCATTTCTGCTCTTGTTAACTGCTTGGTTAATTGTACATTTCTATAATTTAATTGCCAATTAACATTTCGATGGAGTAAATCGAGTCGGGGTCTAACGCGGAAGACATCAGGATGTAAATCAACTATTCCAAGTTTTTTCTCTTCCACACCATCAAATGAACACACCCAAGCCTATCAATTTGGTTAGAATCATCAATTTAAAGCAATTCCTACTTGAGGAACTTCTGTGAAAGGATTTCCTGATTTCCTCCACAACTCCCTTTTGGAATCATTAATAGAACTTAATCTCTCCTCGGCCGCAGTGCTCAAACTACGCAAAGAGCTGCGAAGTGCGAAATCCAAAAGGTTTCTGCCTAGCATCTTTACAAAAGAAAAAGGTTAAATATGAGATAACATGAAACAAAAGTATACGAACAGTTCGAAACTGTAGAGGTTAATTGAACAAGAAGCAATAGAAGTTTTATCCTACAATCTACAACAATAAAAATTAACAATAACAGTAAAGGTTCATAATATACATCTAATCAGAGTTGTTACGAGCTTGTTGTCCTCTTAAAATAGCTTCTTTGAATAGCCTATAAAAATGTGAGTAGGAAAGTGTGAAAAAACTTTGCGTCAATGTCACCTTAGTAAAAATCCAGCACTTTCAGGAGTGTCGTCGTTTGCTGGCACTAAATATGTTAAATATGCTGGATCGGAGTTCGTATCCACAACTCCAACAGTAGGAATACCCATTTTAGCAGCTTCTTAACACACGAGAGCGATGTAAGAGTAAACTAACAAGAAAAGGTACCTATTATTGCGGGATGTGAAGCACCCATGGATGTAAGAGTTGAAAGGAAAATTATTGTGTCGGGTAATCGGACAGAGGAGCCAATTAATTGTTTTGTATTTGTCAATGTTCCTTGTAGCCATTTACGTGTGTGAGAGAACTGTCCTACCTAAAAAGAGAAGAGAAAAGTGAACCAGTAGCTATATCCTCCACCTCTTGAGCAGCTCGTTCAACATCAAATATGGTAGCTCTATTACTTGTTACAAAGAGTATAATACCACCTCTCATGGCTACATGAGCAACGAAGTTCAAAGCTCTGCAATTTTACAAGTTCATGAAATTCATTTCTCTTCAATCATTTTTATAATAAAATGCACAGGCTCAGGATCGCTAATGTCCTCAATGTACAGACTTACGTCTCTACGTAAGTTCAAAGTGTTTGTCATCATAGCCGACCATGGATGGGATTCGAACCCCAAACATATATCTTATACCCATTCTCTTACCCATACGCTAAACATTACTCACCTTTCCAAGTATTTCTTTGTAATTTCGAGGTCGAAGACACATACACCCAGTCTCTCACCATAAAGAGCCCATTTCATGTTGTCATTCAAAGTTCCAATCGAAAAACAAAAAAGTCATACGGAATTCAGATGATCTAAATACCTTATGACCATAATGTAGACGAGCATTAAACATATCCTCAACAGTAAACAGCTTTCCTAACCCGAATTTGTCCTCTTCTTGCAAAGCTGGGGAGATAAATTCTCTGAAAAATAAAAAATATCATCAATCGGGAAGAAAGGACGTACTTTAAGACGACAGGTTGAACAGACGCCTTAACCAAAACTTCTTTGTCCGGCGTTGACATGAATTTTTGTTCTTTCTGGGAAATAAAAACCTTTTCTGGGATTCTTTAATGATCATTACCTCGGCAGATAAAGAAGAGCTCTGCCGTAATCCATGTACTCTGGAAGATGCGAAGATCCTTTGTACTGCTGGCGTTAACCGCTTCATCTTAAAACAGACTTTCACAGGGAGGGAACGAAAGGACGCGCAGATACAAAACGATTACTACGTCTAATTGGCAAAACAACAAGAACAAATGAAAAAATCTTTATAACCGGATGTGAGTGACTAATAAAAACTCTGAAAAATCAACAAGCTATCATATAAGTTAAAGGAGAAGAGCGGAATAAAACGAATATACTGACTCACGGTTTCTTAATATTAATATTAGATCACATAAATAGCCCATTCATTCAAACATAAAGACACACTATGAAAGCCGGAGGATTGGGAAGATCGAATCGTCGGACATAACCCAATCAGCCTTTTTGTTATCAACTTTTCCACTTGAAAGTAATCTCAAGACAACTATGTTGTTCTTGCATAACTTTTCCAACGATCTAGACTCATGATAGATAAGAAGGAGTTCATAATTAATTGCTTACTCTGCTTCCCGAGAAAGAGTACTGGCCTCAATTAACCTATGGAAATGCGCTTTGGCCATTTCAAATAGATCAATGGCTTGCTTAAAAAGCTCACCATGATCCTTTTCAAGGAGTTCATTATATCTAAAAATGAATATATGAACTCAGGTTTCAGTTGCTACAGTCTCACTTGCTGATGTTCAAATACTGATCATAACTTAAATGCAATGGTAACCCGAGACGTGCGAAAGGCGCCATTCGATGTTCGAAATGAATTCGATCAGTCTTTGGTTCCCACCGTGGTACCTATACAATTTTATTGGAACAATTGGTGCAACTATGAAATACCTTGATTTTCCCCCATTTGGTGAGCCCAGCAGTTGCACGTGATATGCCATTAGCTAATGCAGCTTCCCCAATCACTTTTATTTTTTTACAATGCTGTTGCTCCATTCTGAAAAATTAGCATATTACGCTACCGCGTTGGAATCTTTTTCATTTCATTCTATGCAGCCCTTGATCGTGTCGTGTTCAACTTACTTTGTTTTCAGATTTTCCTCTAGCTCAGCTTGTCGGCTACTCTTCTTCTTATTTTTAGCTCGAACTTTTTCCACCTCCATTTTGTAATCGTAATATGTTACTTCCAGGATTCGCTCGATTGAATTCAAATGCCATCTACAGAGAATTTCTCCATAATACCTAAAAAACGAAGAAAGTAGGGGAGGAAGTTTGCTAACAAAATTACCAGTAAAAGTGGGAGTACTCATAAGGTGCAAACAAATCAAGTTTGAAACTCAATTCCAAATGGTAATTTATTATGTTTATTAGGTGATTGAAAACGAAGCTGAGCAGAGGATTTTGTGGATGTCCTTCTGTATTAGAAACACTGATTTTCTTAAAGAAAAAGTCAACTTACCTAAATCTAAACCGTGTAAAAGGCTATTACATCTTCTATCTAAATGCTCGGCGGTGCTTTGTGCAACTATAAGCTCATCGATCGATGCTGATAGTTTTTCACGTTGTCGTGCAAGATTCATGCCTGTATTATACTGTTTCACAGAGCATAGGAAAAAATCGAACCAAAGTTTGCAATCATTGTTAAGCTGGCTTTCGCCATATCATCTAAGAAATCTCCATATAAAGCCACACACTCTTCATCTTGGCTGACTGGATTGCTAAATCGGCTTGATACGATCTCATTCAATGTAGAACAACCCTACCCTTCTTCAAGAACCAAATGCCGTACAATCTTCCGAACAGAACTATCAATCAGGTTCGGAAGAGACACAGAACCCAAAACAAGTTCATCATGAGGGAATAGGGTTAACTAGAAACAATAACATGCAAATGATTTTTCTTAATCTTAACCACCTGTAATACGGAACGACTAAGTACGCAACTGTTATCCATGCTAAAATCTTTGAGGAATTTCAACATATCCGAAAAATCAGCAGCCGCTTCCGCGGAATCAGCGGCGATGCGATGAAGCCTATACAATTTGAATGAGGTTCAGTACTTATTGAAACACACCTGCAGGAGAGAAGGTATAAGTAGTTCATACTCTCATCTCGAGAAACAATGCGTGTTTTTCGTGGGAAGGAGCCAGTCAAATATTGTTTGTTGTAGTCAGGTTGGAACACTCCAAGCCATTCAAACTTGCCTGAAACAAATATAGCAAGAATTTTCAATTATAAAACTAACTATCTCCATTAAGACTAGAAGGCGCTTCCAAGCCTAACTTCCAAGTCTCTTTAAATGCATTCGAAGTACTCTTCAACACTTCTGCTTTGGCAATAGCTTCGGGAAGTGACGGTCTGAAAAAAATATGAAAGCCAAAAACAAAGTCATTAACTACTTAGTTATTTTGGAGCTTAAGCCTTGTTCTTTTGTTCGAACTTGAGGGATGATTAGAAGGAAATACTCCATTAAAGACCGTAACCAGGTAAATCTGAGAACAATAGCTTCCGAAGCAGGAGAAGTGCTCTGATAGCGATAGAATGAATTCCAGTTAAAAATTGAATTCTTACTTTGGCTCCTAGAACATCTTCGAATGATTTCAATTTGGAAAGCTGTTCATCAATCATGTTTTCACAAGGCACAACATACGGGATAGACCCATTAAAGTCCTCCTTAATGACACAATCATTTAATGAACGATAAAGGGTAACTCACCTCTTCAAAAACCATGGCGTCATGTAATATTATACGAATCATCGAGATTAAATAAGAGAAAGTTTCAGCAAGAGTTGAAAGAACAGGATGATAGAAAGAGTAAGGTTCACTCAGAAGCACGTTTGAATAAAGCTTTAAAAGAAAAAAAATAACTTTAAAAAGTAAGAAAGACTAACTGTATTGGCAACGTTTCCTCCTTCCAAGTAAGAAACTAGGCAAGCCATAGTGGCATCAACTATTGTCAACACTTCTCTATCATTAACAGTATTGAAATAATCCTGAAGATCGATGTTACATCTCGCATTATTTTAATCACTTACTATTGACTTCAACTGATCAACACCTGATTTGCGGATATATCGCTCCATCCCGATGTCCATTTTGGGATCCATAAGTTCTACTGCGCTCATGGCATCGTTCAAGCGAAAGCCATCCATAAGAGCTACCTCTCCAAGTGCTAGACCTAAACCGGAAATTGGTTGCTATTGCGTTATCAAAGAGTTACCTTCACAATCTTTGAAAAAATCATCTTTGATATCTATTTCAGCATATTTATCAGAAATTTGTGAATTAGCCAGTAACTCCCGCAGTTCGGAGGCCATCTGAAGTTGTGTGGCTTAACGTAAAGAAAATCAAAAGACTGCAAACGATAGAAAAGAGAAAAAACTCTGAACAAAAAACAAAACAGCACCGAAGTTATTAATGTTTATATACACATCATAAAACAATACATACATACAAATCAAATACTTGGCAATTCCAATCGACCGTCTTTATTGAATGAAACACCCTGTGTTCACGAGATCATTAATTTCCACAACATCGCGTAGGGTAATCGCTGCAAAATTATTTGGATCACACATGGCCATTACACTGGGAGGGCAATTGTGCCGGGCTAACTGTTCCCGCACTGCAGAAAAGTCTATGAGGGAAATGTCATGCGGCTCGGAAGCTTAAAAGGTGAACGTAGAAGAGACGAAGAAACTTTATGTGAAATACCTAGAAACTTTTTCATTGATTTCGAGGCTTCATTCAGAGCATCTTCGAATAGTTTCGTATCGAGTCTATTGTACTTCATAGCTTGTTCCTGAAAATCAAAAAAAAAACTTTGAATAAAACAATAATACAATTACCTTAAGCCTGGTTACGTCTTCTTCGGTAAAATCGGCAATTTCGGATTCGGCTAGATACTTTCTTTCCATAGACTCTGTCCTAAGATCGCGTTCGGCAGTCGACATCTGATGAATATGTTGATAACATGTAAAATCACAAGTTCCTACCTCTAATTGGTTTTTATAATCGCCAAAGACAGCACTGCAACGCGTTTTCAAATCAGATGACGTACAAGCCTCGACTTCTCCTCGCTTTTTTGCCAACTGGGAAGAAAATAAAAATAGGAAAAGAGTGAAAAATAGAACCTGCTTAAGCCTTATAGTTTTCAAAGCTGATTTCGTGGCATTGAAAAGATTTTCAGCAAGAATCATTCGGCGATGATGGTCTTCACTAATACACAATACAATAAGAGCAAATCGAATGAAACGAGCCTACCATACTTTGTTGAACTTCAATATCTCCTCTGTGGACATTAGTTGAGGCTTGGTTTCCTCCACAGGTTCCTGAACAGTTTTTGAGGTTCCAGGTTGTTCATCATCCGAGATTTCAGTCTGAAAGCAACAATTTGAGAGAAGATTTTTGATCCCGAAAAGCGAGCATAATCTCATTGTTTATATGAAGTAGTTTGTCAGAGTAGCTTAGACTTACAGTTTCATCAGCTTTGCTCATTTTTCATAAAGAATATCAGTTAGGTCACTGAAGTAATATTGAATAATTAGTACGGCCGTCTATTTCAAATGGAAAGGGAGAGAAATCGGCGCTTTGTGCACCAAACGCAACGCTCCTTGTAAACAGCGTGCAGGCGAGAAGAATGAAGCCAAAGAAGCTGCTCTGAAATCAGTGTTAGGGTTTCGGTTAAACTTTGAAAACAGATGTTCTTACGATGCTATTCTCGAAATTTTCTTTTCCACAGTTTTAAAAAGTGTCAATATGCTGTTCAGTTAGTACGCAATTATATATTTAGTTGTCCAAATAGTTTTGAATTACCGGAACGAATTATTCACAGTATTGAAATGAATGCAACCATAATATTTTGACCAAATTGTACCTTTCTTAGTTTACTTATTCGACATATGATCAAGAAGATTGTTTTCATTAATAAATTCATATAATATATGCTAGAATCGAATAGTTAACTGTTTCCCTCAATATGTATCACGTAGTGTACATCATTCATCCTGTTGAGCTATAGACAACCGCTCTGCAGATGTACAATGAGATTGGAATGAAACGCAGAAAACGACCGCTTTCCACGTTCACCAGAAACGAAAATGAATATGTAGATGTCTTCGTCGGATACGTGGGAATCCCGTGAAAATTTGAAAAATAAAAAGATGACTGATGAGATTGCTTATCATCTCAATGATCAGTTCTTAAGAGAACCAATTTGATCCAAATGCTTCTTCACTTTTGATGAAGGGATACGTGAGTTCGTCGGAGCTTATTAATGGATAAGTTCCATTATTCGATGAGTACTTCAAAAGATTTTCAAAGTTCAATTAAATACTCTACGTTTATAAACCCGCTAGTATAAGCGTCTCTGTTTTACTAAAAGATGAAGTAGCGAATATTCAGCAACCCCGCCTCCTTCTGAGGAGAGCTCTCCCGGGCTCCTAATCGAGACGTGGTTAGTTCTTTGGCTATTATAAATCTCATTGAAAACATTCCAAGATAGTTTTCTTAACTCATTATTAGCTATCTTCACCTGTCGGACTACCTCCCTCCCCCTCTCAGAAGATATTCTATGTTGTAGCCTTTCTCTTTAAAGCTGCTTGATACTGACAGTCTGTCTGTGTAGCTGGAGCCGTTATTGTCTGAACGGAGCTCTTCCTTCCCTCCGAAAACTATTCATTGTATCTTTTTTCCATCGTCTCTTCCATCACCTTTCGCCAATGTGCAGATTTTCTGAAGTGATCCTTTCCCTTCTTCTATTTGCAATGTAAGTTTGACGATGTATCATAAGCACTCGAGGTTATCAATCTCATGTTCTTTGCCTAATTAACAAGAAATGAACTCATTCGCTATTTTTAAAAATTCCAATCAACAAATGCATAAGCAGGAAAAACATCGCGAGCACCAAAATATGAACAAAGCGTTTCAAATATTAAGTGAATCAAGTATTCTTTGATGTTATTTCTTTGTTCCATGAATGCAAAGTAGAGAATCTTTTTTTTTTGTTTCTCAAGGAAGATTATTCCATAACTTATTTTTCATGAAAATTTCTTGTTCCTTATGGTAAGCAAACTCTTTCACAAGTTCTTTGTTTACCTTCAACTAGCTGATAGTTGTTTTGAAGTCAGAAGAATATATTGCTTGAAGTATCGAGGAATACATATGTGAAGTATAAACTTCGTTCATGAACTTCAGGGATTCATTTACCATCATGAAGTAAAGCAATTCAGACTGGTTCATGGCAAGCCACCGAAGAATCTGTCCCGCATGCGAAACAAGAATGGATTGAGAAACGACGCTTCTGTAATTAGTAGTTATTCAATGACTAATAATGGACAGCAAATCACAGTTTATGAGGCAAGTTCTTAGTTCTCTTAATCAATGAACTTTTCCTTCGTTTGTCATCCGTTTTTTTTTCCCATTTCTTAGCTACGTTCACTAATTCGTAGTTGAAATTAGCTGAGTTTTCAAATGTTAACAAGCTCATAGAGCAACTTTGATTTTATCCAATTTCAAGTACCAAATTTCTCGAAAGAGTAAAACCCAATTAAAGCATTGTTCGGAAGTTCTCGACGGCATAGCAAAGTCTTAGTTTACGTAAATTTGTCAATTAATTTTGATATCTGGTCTCAGCAAAGAGGTATTGGATTTTTTGAGACGATAGAGATAGAGAAGATCTTCTATTTGATTTGTCATTATCCTCTACACCTCATCTCCAGCTGAAAGAAATACTATGGTGGAGGACAGTTGAATCTGTTCTAAGGAAAAAGAAAGATATGCCCATACAAGGTGGCTCTAACATCAATAACTCTTCATGCTATGCTTTGTGTGAATGTGAAAGCAGTTTTTGGACGTAACTTACTGGAGTTTTCTGATTTCTTCGAGAAATTCTGTCTTTGTTATTAAAAATTTCCCAGCAAATCATTTAGTGTGCTTAAGAAATTAGCATTTAGGATGGCTTAGATGATGAGAAAAATGGTACTATGGCTGAAGATAGAGCTATGGCGTATGAAGAGACGACAGACAATTCAGATCCGGATGATCTTGATGACATTCTGGCTGAAGCTGAATTTGAGTCAATGGAGTAAGTCTTTTAAACGATGAAAGTTTCTCCTTTCTTAAAAAAAAATCTTTTTTTGAAATTAATTCCGTGGGCAACGAAATATGAGTTTTCAGGATTCAGTCAACTACGCCAGTTCCAACTTCAACGCATAAAATAACGACAACTGCAGAGATTGCGAGAGTGCGAATGTCGGTATGTACTGGACTTAAACTTCTAGAGTGAAGCAGCTTTTTAGGTGAATGCTCCTATCCTCCAACCACAAACATCAGACACAGAAATACTAGAGCACTTGTTGAGCAAAGGATATGATTGGAGAGTAAGACCTCCTGGACAAGATGGTAAGTTTGTCGTAGACTTTTTGTTTTATTGCGGGATAAGCCGTCAAAGAGTTCGAGAGAAATTACGAGCTTAATTTAAGGAACTTTACATGGTGGACCAGTTGTGGTTTCAGTGAACATGCTTATAAGAAGGTTTGTTGAGACTAACAACTAAAGTACAAATTCATTTAAGTATATCAAAAATAGACAATGTAAATATGGAGTATAGCGTTCAATTGACATTTAGGGAAAGTTGGAGAGACATACGATTACAGTAATATTGTAGTTCACAGCTTAATCACTCATATTACTATCAGATACGAAAAAAACGAATACGGAAATATGAAAGATAATGTTCCGGATTTTCTCATTCTGACTGCCGGACAGCAGATTTGGATGCCAGATTCCTTTTTCCAGGTTTCCGTTTTGATCCAGGAACAAAAATTTACATTTAAAAGTTTTTAAGAATGAGAAACAAGCTTACAAGCACATGATTGATAAACCGAATGTGCTTATACGAGTTCATAAGAATGGAGAAATTCTTTATTCCGTTAGGATTTCCCTAGTTCTTTCCTGTCCTATGCATTTACAAGTTCGTTTAATCCATTATTATAAAACTGATGAAGAGATGTTTAAGTTCTACCCGATGGATGTTCAGAAATGTCTTATAGATTTAGCTTCCTATGCTTATACGACAAAAGACATTGGTACTCTTCCCATGGTTAATTCATTCATAAAACCAATTACAGAATATGTGTGGAAAAGCGAAGAACCAGTGCAGCTTAAGAAAGGATTGAGCTCATCATTACCTTCCTTCCAATTAAGGAATGTTTCGACAGGCTATTGTACGAGTAACACAAACACAGGCGCTTATTCTTGTTTGAGAACAACTCTTGAGCTTCGCCGACAGTTTAGGTTATCCAGCCGTCAATATTGCTTCGTTGAGTACTGACGTTTCTTATAGTTACTATCTGCTTCAACTATACATTCCATCATGTATGTTGGTGATTGTGTCTTGGGTATCATTCTGGATTGATAGAAATGCTGTTCCAGCTCGTGTCACTTTAGGAGTTACAACACTTCTCACCATGACAACCCAAGTATTTCCCTCTTCTTCAATCCAAAGCGCATTCCATTTTTAGTCATCAGGTATAAATGCTAAACTTCCTCCTGTGGCCTACATAAAAGCTATCGATGTGTGGATTGGAGGTTTTTTTTACCAATTTTTACTGAGGGTTTTTATCCTTTCTAGCCTGTATGACATTTATTTTCGGGGCTCTACTGGAATTTGCTTGGGTGACGTACATTGCAAACAGAATAGATGGAGCCCGAAGTACGAGTTCCACTCAAAAAATTAAAAAAAACTTTTCTTGAAGAGAAAGAGGCTGAGAAAATGGCATTACTGGCTAAGAATCAAGCGGTTTGGGTTCCACGTGATGTAGCTGAACAAGAACGAGAAGTGGAAAAAGCATTGCAAACAGCAAACAACCGAAAGTACAGAAGAAATGCGTTGACCAGGTGACAATTGTCGAAATAATGAGTCTGAAAACGTTTTTCAGATGGATTGAGAGGCACACAGAATGGCATGATCCCCCGAAACGAGCAGATTTGGTCTCAAGTAATTACAATGAATAGATGTGTTTTCTTAGTATATTTTCAGGAGTTCTTTTTCCTCTGTCATTTTTGTCCTTCAACATTGCATACTGGACACACTATGCTCAATATGAACAATACGAATCTCGAAATTAAATTATTGAAATCGATGTTATTTTTTTCTGTTAAAACACTATTTATGATAAATCCTAACAAAAAGAGAAAAAATAGAAGAAAAAATGAAAAAAAGAAATGAAAAGCTCACAAAGTTTTCATCTCGCAATTCTAACTTGGCTTTCGTTGCAAACGTCGAAATTCTTTCTGTCGAAAACAGTTTCTCTCCGTCTCCTATCACTGCTCTTTGACTTCTTGTCTCATTGAGCTGTCCATATTAGACTAGTTCCAAAAACAATATTGTGCATAATCATGATTTACTCAACTTCATTTCGTCAGCGTTGAACTTTGAGTTTTCAAGTTCTCAATAGAATAGCTCTCGTGGAATTCAAAACATTTGTTTGCCAGGTAGTTTGATTAGTTATTAAATGATCAGTGGCTGTTTCGAAAAGGAAATTTCCTTGTTTCTTTATCGGACTTCTATTCAGAGCGGAGAAATCTTTATGGCTTTCAATAATTAGCAACCGTATCACAATACATCGTGGAATTTAAAGCATTTGATTATATGTTATTATTAGAAACAAAACTAGAGAACTAATTAACAAAAGCGTTAGGACCTAAATGATAAACGTGATCATCTTCTTCTTCTCGTCTAGCTTTTTCTCGCTTTTGCCGTTGTTTTACTAAAATATATGTCAAAACTATTACGCTGAGGATCAACAATAGCAGAGCTACTCCCAGGGATATTGCAAGAGCAATTACTGTGCCGTTACTATGAGAAGGAGTTATGGTATGAGATCGTACGGTGGTTGTTGAGAAATTAGTGGTTGGAATTGTAGTGCTCACCCAAGTAGAATTAGATTTGGTTGGGTTAGGCTCTGTTGCGACGGATGTAGTAGGATTAGGTGTGTTCGTAGAAGATTTTACTGGTGGAATAGAAGTACTACCCGGATTCTTTGTTGAAGGCTGTGTTGCCACAGAAGAAGAAGAAATAGGTGTGTTTGTGGAAGATTTTACTGGTGAAATAGTGGTAGAACTAGGACTTGGCGTAGAAGATTGAATTGTAGCTGATGTGGAAGGTTCAGGTGCATTCGTGGAAGATTGCACTGGTGAGCTTGAAGTACTACCCGGATTCTTTGTTGAAGGCTGTGTTGCCACAGAAGAAGAAGGCATAGGTGTGTTTGTGGAAGATTTTACTGGTGAAATAGTGGTAGAACTAGGACTTGGCGTAGAAGATTGAATTGTAGTTGATGTGGAAGAATCAGGTGCATTCGTGGAAGATTTTACTGGTGGAATAGAGGTGGAACCGATTGAGGTAGAAGTTGGTATTGTAGTAGAGATCGTGGTTGAACAATCAGTTGGCTTATCCGTTGTTTGTGGAGAGACGAGAGCTCCAACTGCAAACCAGAGTTTAGGATTGTTATTCTAATACTTACCATAACACTCATAGGCACTGTTCTTAGAAGCTCTCTTCGTTGGATCATTGTCTGTAGTCCATCCACCATCAATCCATTGTAAAACTCTCTCGCAAGTAGAAACATCGTTGTAGTCCATCGAATACTAAGCAAAAAACATAATAAGATTAGAATGCCTGAACAACTTACAATCAAGTCGCCGGGATTTACATAATTACCCAATAGAATACAATTTGTCAAACCTGTACATTTGAAATGCATATTACAAGTTTTCTTATCTGCGTCATAGAAGTAATCAAATTGTATGTCATTGTTTCTCTCTAGGTCTTTTGTTAAATCAACTTCAACACACTTATCGACTTGCCCTAATTGCACATGCGAGCAATACTTTTGAAAATCATCTGAATGGGCAATATTCTCGGAAATAAGAATATAACGAACCTGATGTTGATAACTTAATACAAAATAATAAAATAAGACAGAAAAACTTGTGATTCAGCTTCATCAGTAGAACGAATCATCTCTAATCGGTTGTATTATATAGTATCTGAAGAGTTGCTCAGTCATCTATTACTTCTTGCACCACCCCAAAAATTGTTGCTGAGGAATTTTGGTTGATAAACACAAGTATCGGCAGATTTTATGATTGATTTCACTATCACTCACCCAGTTACGAAATATATGACATTGGGATCCCACGTAAACTCGTGTAAAAAATTGCTGACAGTCTTCCATTCTGTCAATTAGTTACTCATCAAGCGGTTGCATTCACTACGCTTCTTTTATCAATCTTAATGACGAAGCACTTTTGCACGTTAACTAATCCGTAACACATGCATAAGTTTCTTCTGCCAAACGTCATATGCAAATCGGATTTTCATACTTAATGCTGCTTATTAGCGATCAGCCATTGACATGAGATCAAGGGCGGAATCCAAAGAACGGTACCGGTTTCCTGTATCAATAAATTATCTTTTTCCAAATAATCAGGGAATGACTAATTGACAAAACACAACTGTCTGAGTTTGTTTTCATTAGTCTCTCTCTTATCACTACTGTTTCACAGCTAGGCACCATGTGGAGCTGTTTCTTTCACTCTGAAGAAGGAACTAAATCAGTTTTGATTGCAGAAAACGGAAATTCTTGAAACAGTTTTTTCTAATCGCTCACTCTATCTTGGGCGACGCCTATTGTTGTCACATGTGACATACCGTTTTTACTGACCATAATTTCGTGATCTTGTGGGAGACTCAGTCCACTATCGCCTTTTTCGTATACTACTCCTACTCCATATCATAAACTTGACCATAAAAGGAGGCATTCGATTGAAATCAAAGAAGATGTTCAAACTATCCAAACATATAATTTGCAACAAATGACAGTTAAACCGATGACGAATCTGATTATTTTCACTAAAAATAACAATTTCAAAATCATATCTTCACCCATGAAACTGTTCTCAAGGAAAGAGTTGACTATAAAAACTGAGAATTAAAAGTCAAATTATAGGGTTTTTGAGTAAATGTTATCATGTTTGGGGTCTGTCATGTACTTGGGAACGTCTTGCGACTCAACGAAAACATATAGAAAAATGAATATTCAGTACATAATCATCTGAATCGACTTATCAAAGCTTATTTTCCATTAGGCTAGTAGCCGTTTGGAACGTTTAAACTCATTTGAGCAGATGAACTGATTTACTTAGATGTCGGCACATAAAACATTTTGTAAATTATTATAAAGTTTACTTGAGTAGTATAACTAATGTCAATACATTGATGAGAAGGCCAAACACTTGAAACATACTTGGCTATGAATAAGCTGTCGGCTACCTCCCTAATGAACCTCTTATGTCTTCCTGATGAGCATTGAAACAAGGCTGGACAATAGGCGATTAGTAACTAATACGCATTCACAACTCTCATTTTTCAACCGAAAGCCGAAATTTGAACATCATACGTGATACGAATGATATTGTTTTTGATTAAAATGAGGAAAGTTCTCGATAAATTAGTTTGAGTATTAGGTTTTTGAACTCTTCACACCTAACATACGCAGTTTCTGGAATATACATTCGGAAGATTCATTAGACTAAGCCTTCGGTAGTTTATGGGAAATTCTATTTGCCAGATATTCTGAGAATGAATCGGTTGTATTGGTTTCATATCGTATTTTCTACATCCGCTTTACACTTATTAATTCTCATTTTTTGAATTCATTCTCACCTTTTAATAATATGAAGAGAGCGCTATAAGTGGCGGATGAGTGTCGGTGGATAGCAATTCTTATGGGAAATGCTAGAAGCCAGAAGTGATAACACTGTTTGTAAAGGAGGATGATCATGTTATTCAATCTTCTTTTACGATTCAGACTTCTTTCTTTTACCCGAAAGCTTAACTATATGCCCGAAAACAAAGTTTTGTCTATATTGATGTATATTCTGATGATACTGATGTATGTGTGGTAAAACAACTTGAAATTGAGTTGGATGAGCTACAGTATTAATATAGAAGTTCGTTATTGTGAATATTCGTATGCTTCAGATATTGTTATGACTAGTGTTACTCTTATAAGCTGAGTTAAAGGTCCAGCTTGAATAAAGGAACACAAACAAAACAAGTAGCCAACAAATTTCCTGCTGGCATCCTGTTGGTATATTTCCACCTCCGGCTTACTTCATCATTTGATCCTGATAAACACCTTGTTGATACTTCTATTCTCTTCATCTCATAAACTAATTAATGTTTCAAAAGGTCGAACTACTTGTTGAATCGAAGATAAGCTTAAGCAAGTTTTACATGAAGATTAAACCAGCCATCTGGATATCTGTTTCTCTTTGAAGTGGATCTTATTGTGTCCTTCGTTGATCTCAAAAGCCACTGATTGGCAACTCAAATCTGCCGTCAAGGGTCCTCTGGTTCGCTATGGTATCTTGTCTTCCTCTCTCGCCTTAGTGATACCCTCACTCTGTATCCGGTCTTTTGCTCTCGGATTTGGATAGCAACTTAAGCTTGACCTTAAACACTTGTTGAAAAAGGAAGAAAGCTAACACAATGACTCTTCTTATGCATATATTTTTAATCCGAAACACTTGTTAGTGAATAGCATGCTGAGTAACTTTTCAAGCAGTTGAGCTATTGAACTGCAGCCTACGTAATCAGTAGGTGAACCTCCTCTTCAAATTAATCGAAAAGTTTAATAACTACTACATATTACTCTTTGTAATTTTTTTCAATCATGTCTAGTGCAATGATTATTTTATTCTTTTTATTCCATTATAACAGCTATATTCTCATCCAGTTTTTATTCTTCAATCTTTCCTCAATCATATTATCGTCTATCAGTCAGTGGACTCCCTCCGTCACGGAAGGGAAATATCCCCCAGGACACGAATTGTTTAATACAATACATATTAGAACATATGTTTTCATTTTTCTAAATTATGGTCAGATGAAGTTGGCTGATTCATGGAATAAATCTGTGATTTCCCAACCATAATCAGCAGAAGCCACAATGTTTATGTCAAGTAGCTTAGCTTAACATTTTCTTTTTTTGTTGATCTCATTCTCTCCTCCGATCCTCTCACTCTTTTACATGTTTTCTTCCAAACTCTCCAATTATTATTTTTACTCCACTTACAGTCTTCTAGAGTTATCCATCTATAGTTAGACGACTCATGATTCTTGCTCAGTTATCTCATCTACTTTCTGGCTTCATAGTTCTAACATCGGTTTTAATACTTCCCATATCCTTCACAGCTTATGGGTGAGAATGATACATACTACACATTTCTTATGACCAAAACTTTTCTTCAGGGTCTATCAATTCAAATTCATTCAATCCCCTTTGCCTTGTTTGCAAGTCTCATAATGACTGCAACTTGTGCCAACGACCCAATATTTGGTTCATCTGAGAGATCTTCGGCTGGACTTATCAAATCATCTACCGTATCCAGGAGCTCTTTCTTCAAACCATTTAGAGCCTAATGGTCCTGACTGAAGCAATTCAACTAGGTGCCTTATTTCGCGCTCCAATCCTAATCAAATCCACCGAGACAATAGGGCTCTAATCATATTGTTTGGCACAATCTAGGATGCTTAGATGGGCTGTCCTGTGTCTCTTTACTAGGAGATTCATTTCCTTTGTTTCGCTTACCCACTGATATCCTGTGACTCGATGAATTACCGAATGGTCTGAAGGATTACTTTTGCGTGCGTGATTTGGATGAGCTTCTTCCGTTCACCTCTTCCGTTGAGTTGGCAGTTCTCCAAGCCACCTCCACCTATTCAGAGGAAGGAAGAGTTCCCCATTAAAATTGTAATTTTCCAAAAACATGATAAACTTTTGCTTCCTGGTTTTGATAAGGATAATCTCTTCCCTATGCGATGGAATTTCAAACCGATATCCCCAACCTTCTTGGCAACTCCCAATTTTTCATTCTCTCTTTTGGGAGATGCATTCTCACTTCAATGTTTTCCACTGCTTGTAAGCTCAACGTAATCCATTAAAAATTGATACGATCAGCGACTGATATTGTTCTTCTACATAATTCCCTATTCTTTAGTATCTTTACATATATGAAATGTCATGAAGCACACGTGAGTTCCAACGTCACCAACTAGTAGATTTCTAATATTCTTTTTTATCTTTTACCATACATGGCCATTTTTAAACGCTAATCTGTCTATACTTTGGTCTTCCTACCTGAATAATCATATCTGAATATTCAGAATGTGCGGAAGTTTCCAAAACAACATCTGTAGAACTTGCAACCATTTGGCTATGATCCATCCGATCCGTCAGATCCGTTTTCCGATGGTTTTCATGAAAAATCTTTCAAAACCATTAACTTTTTCTCAAAAAACTAGACTTTCATCTGAAATCTTTCAAAAGTTGGAATACTGTATTTTCCCCGGGGAATTCCATCTATGATATAGTAGTGACTGAAGCATCCTTCTCCAAATTAGGTCAAACAACCATTTTTCTTTAAATTTCATATTTTCGAGTATTCTCAAGTTTTTTTTCCTCTGCTCGTATGAAAGGTTCTCATTTTTGGTGTGCAAGTGGATCTGGGAAACAATCCAATTAAGGTAATACAAAGATAATGTTTTCGAGAGATTATGACACAACTTCTTGGTTGTATTCGAAAGCGGATTAGCTTTTCTCAAGATGTCTCTTACTAATAAGGAATTGAACGATCAAAATGCTAATTTTCGACGTCAAGACCTATATGGGGAAAATCAATTTGACCATTTTTAGTGTTATCTTTTATTTTTTGAACAATTATGTCGTACGTTCGATGTCGTTTCCCCTGCTTCATTTCCTCAATTTCAGTTTTCAGTTAGACTACAGAAGGACATATATAGAAGAAATAGTAACAAAAGTATATTTCATATCACTTGCTTCAAACGATGAGTGAAACAGGAAAAGTGAGTTGCATATTTTTATTTTTCAATGAAGCATTCCTATAGCTTCAAGCACCGTAGCCAGCTCCGCCTTAAAGTAGTTAAGAGAGCCAATCATAGACCTCACCGAACGAAAAAGCTTGAGAGTCTTATTTTGAAGGAAAAACGTTCATCTTTTCGATTATAAAGTTTCAAAGTGAAAAAATAAGAGTTTTGGCATCTCAACATGATGTTCTGACCTTGACTCAATCCTAATACGATTTGAGCTGAGATGGCTTTCTCCGGGGAAAAGATTGCATTGTTAAAACTTTAAAAAACATGAAGGCGGGCTAGAGAACTACTAAGAATCTTCGTGCAGAAATAGTAAAACAAATTAAAATATTTTATGAATGAATCGTAAAGAGCTAAATGTTGATTTTTCAGAAATCTCCGGAAAAGCTTGTGATCGTTGACGACAATGATGAGAAGTCAGGAGAAGAAGAAGAAGGGTCGCCTGAATTGACTTCAGACAATGGAAGATCATCTCCGGAAAGAACAGTTTCCGGAATTTTACCACGCTTCTCTGTTAATCACATTCTATCGCCACTGGATAACTTGGGTATGTGTTTAACAAATGAAATGAAAATCATTAACTCATCGAAAAACGTTTTTGAAAAGAGAATGAAAGCTTACACTAATATGGAAATCCACTTAAATATAAAAAATAAAAATAATTTTTTTTCTACAATAATGATCAATGTGCTACCGTAGTGATGATGTTTGCAAATGGAGACTGAGAAGAGTTATTAGGAAAGAAATGAACTGTGAGAGTTTCTTCTCTCGGTCTCTCGTTCTCTTGTGAATCTCCCCGCTTTCACTCCTCAGGATTTTCTCTCTCTTCCTGCATCACCTCAATGTTAAATATGGTGACAAAGATATTTCGTCCTCTGTCACTCTGTGTCACAATCCCTGTAGAAGTAAAAGCATAGCAGACGAATAGCTGTACCACTTGAGACCTCAATCTTCTTAAGAAGTGGCTCCGGAGAAGCTTTTCATGAGAACCTTAGCCTTCAGAAGGACCCTTTAGATGCTCGTAGACGAGCTTTTCGTTTTGCTTCACAACCACAATGATGACAACGGCATGCCCAGGATGAAGAAGTAGTTGGTTTTCTCCTACTCAAATGCTTCACAATCATTATCGATGTAGTCTTGAGCTATTACATGGCCACTCGCTTCTGTGCAGTCTGAAGCGGCTTCACGGTTGCCGCTCAGCTACCTCTTCTCATCCACTTTTATCATCATCTACTCATCTCTCTGTCTTCTACTGGAAGAGAAGACGAGAATAGTTGAGGTTGTCCACAACGTATGTATGCTTTGACGACCCCATGGACCTAAAGAAGAAGCACACTTCTGTAGCACTCTCGTCGTCAACTCAGTGGTCCTCTCCTACTTCTCCAGATTCTGTCTCAGCTTTCTTTTCCACGTGAAGTTGCTTCATCAACCAACCTCTACAGCTCAAAGTACCTATAGAGATCAGGTTGAGGCACAACGAGGATTACTTCAAAGTAGAAATCTTGAATAATCATTGACTACTGTTCCTTCTTTTTTTTCAACTCAACAATCTCATACAAAATTCCGTTCAAATCATTTTAAACTTACAGCTAGAGTCCAGCAACAACTTCTCAAGATGACTTCATCTCCATTGGGAGAGCATTCTCTTCCTTTTGGATATCGGCCTCCACCAGGAACATTGCCAACTTCCTACTTTGGAACAACTCCTTTCCAAGGGTATCAGAGTGATTTCACGAGGTGTGCAACTGTAGCTTCCGGTATTACGAAAGATTATTTTAGTTATATGACGAACACTTCCAATTGGTACAACAGCAGTGATCCAAGATTCGCAGCCCGTAAGCTTTTCATGATTCACAACACAATCTTAAGAATAAGAACTAAACGTCTGTAAGCACGCTATAGAAAATTTTCATTTTGAAATTGAGTGCGTTGACAACCGGTTGCATTACTGATTATGTTTATTCTTTCGTTTTTTTCCATTTCAATTTTTCAGTTTTACCATGTGGAATTGATCCCTCCAGAGCCGCTGTACATGGGATTCAGCTTCCTATGTCGCAAAGAAGAAAGCGAAGAGTTCTCTTCAGTCAAGCTCAGGTATTTTCGCTTCTTCTCGAAAACAACTTTAAAATAATATTAGTTATTCATACGAAATATCTAAACATTATCTTCTTCTAGGTTTATGAACTCGAGAGACGATTTAAGCAGGCTAAGTACTTGACAGCTCCTGAAAGGGAGCAGCTGGCCAACGCTATTCATTTAACTCCAACTCAAGTACGATTCTTCACTCGTGATTCTCAATTGTTGCCTCGTATTCAGGTTAAAATTTGGTTTCAAAACCACCGCTACAAATGTAAACGACAAGAAAAGGAGAAAGCTATGTCAGGAGCGACTGGAACATCTAACTCCGGTAGAGACGGAAGCACTTCACCAACATCCCAAATTGGAGATGACGAGTAAGACTATTTTGAGAACATGTATTTTTCAAATCATTCCACTAGACTTTCAACATCGGGATTGAAAACGAAAGATGAACTTCCGAACTGCTCCGAAACAGAAACAGCTATAGGAGATGTCGCAGCTCCCAACAGTTCTGATCAAAAACCAATGATGTTCCCATCGGTATATTAATATTCTAGCGCATCATCAACCGGACAACGCTCATTATAGGTGCCACCTTCAATGTATCCTACCCAAACCACATTCACATTCCCATTTGGATCTCAGCAGTACTCTGCAGCACAAACAGCTTATTATAATCAGATTCGCGGTGTTGGTTGGTAAATAATCATGTAACATATGAAAAAGATTCTTTGTTTTTGAAAATAATTTGCATTCCAATTGCCTTTGAAGTCTTGTGCCTAAAGAAGACTTTTGTTTTTAAGTTTACAGCTTTAAATTACTTCAAGAGATTCATAAATTCGAAAAGTGTTTGTATCTATGCGCTTTGCTTGTTAATCCAACATCGGAACATGGCTAGAGGGCTTTAGTTATGTTATCGATTATTTAAAATTTAGAGGAAGAGCTTATCAGAAGACTTAATTCTTTCACTCTATCTCCTGTTCCAATTTTGGATTGAGGATCTCTCCTGTTTGAAATTTCGAAATCTGCCAACGATCCTTGTCTAGTTCAGATCCCTAGTCCGTGATCGGGTTATCTTTATATATGATGAACTATAAATATAATATTATTATTTCAACTATACATATACACGTAAGCTTATCGCTGAAGCAGTTAATCGAAAGAATAATAATGATTACAAACTATGTACATGGGAATGAGAAGATTACCTGTTAGTGACATGTTGTCAATGGATAAAGAGTTATATACAATGTAAGATGAGAAAGGCTAGTTAAAAGAATTTACAAGAATATGTACATATGAGTTATACCTACTCTACATTCTATGGAACAGGGTTGCTTGTTGTAGGATGTCGACGAAGCACGTGAACCTTCAAGTTATATGGATGGGAGAATGCATGAGAACAATGCACGCATTTGTACTGTTTTTCACCTGAGAATTCAAATCAAAACAAATTTCAATATGAAACTCCAACCTGTGTGTATCTTCATATGAGCTTTAAGATTACTTTTCAATGCAAACTGCTTTGTGCATCCAGTATGAGTACACTTCAAATTTTTTTTTGTTTTCCTCAATATTTCTAGAACAAACCGCGAAGGACTGAACACGAGTGTGTACAAGCATATGTCTTTTCAATTTAGTTCGTTCGACAAATTCTTTCTCACATTTTGAACATGAGAATCGCTTCGGTTGATGAATTAAGCGGTGTTTACGTAAGGCAGTAGCCGAAGACAAAATAGAAGAGCATCCCTTAAACATCATCATCTACTCACAATCAATTATATCAAGAAAACCTCATGTGGACACGGAAATTTCCCAATCGCAGTCATGGATGACGGTAAAACCCTACACTTGCCGTTTCTAAAATAGAACCATGATAAGAAAAATTGTACAATTCATACGCTGAAGGCTTTTCCACATGAACTGGCAGAACTATCTTGACAATATCTGTTGTGGTGTTCGAATCCTAGAAGAAGCAAAACTATATGATGTAATCAAAGAAAATCAACCTTCTCAACTTCTGACTTTGTTGCGGAAGAGGACAGATCATTTTCATATCTGCAACAATCAGAATTTTAAAAACCCTCTTCTTCGAGTGAGGCAACCTTTGAGCTAAATTGGCTGACTCCCATTTCTCCTCTATATCGTCATCATCAATTGATCTCAGCCAACCCCTTCGATCATCCTTACAATACATTGAAAACCAAGTAGAAAATCTTTTGAAATACCTTGTTGCTTGTAGAAGGGGCACTCCTTTTGTAGTAGTTGTTTGATGATGATAAGCATACATCTAAAAAACGAGGGACTACAATGAAAAAAACATTTCTATACCTCTTCCAGCCCAGTTCGACAGAACTGTTCGAACCTCCTTCTTCATAGACGGGTTATTTTCTCGCCGAATAATTACATTAATCTTCAAAATAATAATTTCATTAAATATTTTCTTTACATTCCGAGCACACCAGTTCCTATTACTTGATATCGGCAGTACACACATTTCTACTTTTCGTTTCAAATGTATTGAGAGGTTGCTTTTATCTATTGCTGTCTGAACTCACAATCATAAATACCTTCCGGAATGATTACACTGTTTTCAATTGTTTGACCTTTCATCATCATACTCTACCCTACTACACATGTTTTGTGCAACCGAATTATCGTTTCACCTGTAGTTGGGTGTTCCCCGGAGTAGCTTTCCGTACTCTTACAATAGGATGCTTCACAACAGGTACTGTCGATAACTCCTCCCCAGTTTTTTCATCGACTAACACTTCACTACTATCAGCCTAAAAAGAGTTTTCAAGTTAAATTTCCCATATAGATTCTCCTTGTTGAATTGATTTTTTACAAGTTTTCAGATTTTTCGATGGTCCTGTTGCCCATTCAATATTCATTAATGGAAATGACAAATCTAATTTATTTTTCTTCTATTTTAAAGGAAAGATGAAACAATTACCAAATCATGAACATCATACACCGGCATCATCACTTGCTGAGAGAAATCTGTAGGAGCATCCAGAGGTAACATTCTGAATTATTTTTATTGATCATGCACAGAATTGTTATGTTGATATGGCGTAGAAGCTAGAGTCAATCAATAACAAACTTTATAACTCCAGAAAAGTAATGTAAGGAGATAAGAAAAAGCTGATTAGGGTAGATCGAAGAAATTGGCTCATGCTCACAAAAACAGTAAGAGAGTACGTAATCTGGTTGTGTAGAGTGAACAATTCGTGAAAAAACAAAGAGATACCTTTGACCCCTCTACCTTGTTGATTCTGGTAATCCGATGAAGTTAGAGCTTGCAAGCTTTCAAACTTTTTCAAATGTTCTAATTCCTAACTTTTTAGACCTTTAAACTTCTTTGAACTCGCACGCGACGTCGCCCGCATAGGTCATGTACGTGATCAAAACTTATCTTTCTATTTTTATTATTGAAGAGTGTGTATCTAATATTTTTTGATCGTTAAAAATTTCTGGATTATTCTGTTACGTAGTTACTCCAACTGCAGGTGTTCAACTTCTCACTTCTTTAAACTGAGCGTTTCTGATAATACATATCGTTATTGCAGAGTGTGTTCATGAGCGGATGGATGTGATGGAAGATGAGAATCGCAGGAATTATTGAACAAAGTTGGTTTCACTTCTCCGGAACGTTCGAGTGTTTAAAAGCTGGTATGTATGTTTACATTCACGTGAAATCAGGAACGGGTATACCGGGTCTTGCGTAACCTGCATTGTATACTCTACATCCTGAATTTCATGGTTTACGTTGACTAAGCTATTATTATTCCTAGTGATAATTCCTTCTACGTACAGGATCAAAAACAGAACAAAAATAAACTGAAAGTAAACATTACATACCGGTCTTTCTTCGTTTGAAGCTTCCGGGGAAGTAACACCAACTGGCATATAAGGATTTCTCACATTATTGCTCTAGGAACTTATTCCTCATAAGGATCAAAATGGAACAAGACTCAACATATATAGATGTACAAGTTTCCTTATAATTTCGATGATGTATCTTGTACACCTTCCTCTCTATATATGGGTGGTCAAGCTTCCACACACACACTTCTTCCTTACAACACTCCTTCCTTACAACGAAACCCTATGTCATATGCAAACTTAATGGTCAAAACAAAAGAAGCTACGATAAGTAAAACGGAGATGAAAAGCCATGCAACAGTGATAGCAGTTGTTCAATCTACCGAGAAAAACCAATTGGAATTTGTTTTGGATCTCGGGACTTTCGAATGATAAGAAGAATAAGGAACTGGCCGGAACCTTTACTGAAAGCACATTTCGCGAATGGAAGATGAAAGCGAATCAGAAGACGATGTTTAATTTTTTCAGATGGTTGTTTATTTGTTAAATGATGAATGAAGAGTTGATATAAACGTATTTATGCATAATTTAAAAATCTGTTGTATAACAGTATCGAATATCTATTTAGGCGTCAGCACTGAAAATGCGCTAGAACGCAGTTACCCGATCGAGTACTTATCGGGTCTCGGGTAGTACCCGAAACCATTTGTTTTATTCGGGTATTACCCGAAATTCACCCAATTCCATTTTGAGATTCGAGTAATACCCGGAGTCCGCTCGAGTGTCTCGGGGAGCAGAATTGCCCAAGCATTATAAAGAGTTGGATATGAACGGGTTCGTCTATTTACATACACAGTTTACACTCCGATCGATTTTCTTTCAGTCTGCTGATTGACTCTGATGACGAATACATGGAAGTCTGCACAGATGACGTTAGTGATGCGGTGGTTCCTTGGGTCAAGCAGTTCCAGGTAATCTATTCTTCGTTTATCAGTTATTCTCTGTTCTAGACTATGGGGCGGAATTGCCAAAAGACAGCTCTGAAAACTCTCGTGGAAACGCTTGGTTTTCAACATATCCGTCAGCTCAGACGTATTATCGAACCGCAGCTTCAAAAAGATTTTTTAGCGGTGCTCCCCCGTGAGGTAAAAGTGTTCTTATCGACTAGTTTGAAAGTTTCCTCTTCAGATAGCCTTATTGATACTGTCCAATCTTACTCCGGAAGATATTTGTAGAGCTTCCTTAGTATCCACAACATGGTACTCTTTATGCAATGATGATTGGCTATGGCGCATGAAATGCGACGAGAACGGGCTATTTCGAAGCCTTGTGAACACAACACCCAGGTACTGTATTTTTGTAATCAGAGTTTAACGCCGCCATGTTACAGTGTTCGAGTCGAGGGGGGGTGGGCTTCCACTGCCTTTGGGAAAGTAACTCTAGAAATGGAGCATTTATCGGGCTCTGCTTTGGAAGATCGTCGTAAAGAGAGGGAACGGCCGTTTGGACCGTTAGTCACTTTTAAGAAACCATTTGTTTATAATCTTTTTTAGTATCTACAGCCTCTCAAAGTATAAATCGCTATTCTTGCGGCAATGTAGAATCAATGCAAATTGGAGAAAAAACCCAATTGGTGGAAGTTGTTTGCTTAGAGGTCACGAGGAGCATGTTATTACATGTCTTCAGGTATCCTTCAATGAGATCGTCAAATTCTATAATATATTTAGATAAATGGAGATAGGATAGTTTCTGGTTCAGACGACAATTCGCTGAAGGTCTGGAGTATATCTAAAGGAAAAGTAAGAATTCCCCTCTTTATCATGATCTTATGACTTTCTAGTTGTTATTCACTTTGGTTGGACACACGGGAGGCGTTTGGACGTCACAAATTTCCAAGGATGGACGGTATATAATGAGTGGTTCAACGGATCGAACTGTCAAAGTTTGGAGTGGAATTGATGGCTCTCTTCTTTATACTCTCAATGGTCATACGAGTACAGTTCGTTGTATGAGTTTACATGGAACTATGTAAGTTCATGAAACTACCAAATCCTCACAAGGCCGACGTTTTCAGCCTTGTCTCTGGCTCACGTGATGCAACTCTTCGTGTTTGGTGTGTAGTTACGGGTACTTGCTTGCAACATTTAACGGGTCATCAAGCTGCAGTGCGTTGTGTTCAGTTTGACGGGCGGCGGGCTATTTCTGGTGCTTATGATTTCAATGTGAAGGTATGTAAAGAGTTTGTAACACGTCTGATGAAAACATTGAAGGTGTGGGATATTATTACTGGAAAATGCATTCATACTCTACAAGGTCATACCAATCGTGTTTATTCACTTCTAGTAAGCTTTCATCATTGAGCTTAGTTTCATATGTTACTTACAGTTTGATAGCGAAAGAGAATTAGTTGTCTCTGGCAGTCTCGACACAACTATTCGTGTCTGGGATATTAGTAGAGGCGCTTGTTTGAGTGTTCTAAATGGGCATACAAGTTTAACCTCAGGAATGCAATTGCGGGGAGACATTTTGGTGTCATGTAATGCCGATACTTCTGTTCGGGTTTGATTTTGTCATCGTTATTAGTATTGAAGTTTGTTTATTGTAGGTTTGGGATATTTCTAAAGGTGCTTGTGTCCATCGGTTGGATGGCGTTAACGGTCACACATCAGCTATAACTTCACTACAGTTTTTGGATGATAGATTAGTTGCTACAAGTAGTGATGATGGCTGTGTGAAGTTATGGGATATAGAGAAAGGTGAGATTTTCTACTGAACTATGAAGGAAATTATAATTCTCAGGAGTTTTTATACGTAATATAATTTGCTTAAAAACGAGGAACAACGGGGGTTGTGTTTGGAGATTAAGAGCGGCCGAGAACATGCTGGCATGTGCAATAGGGTCCAGAAATGGTACAGAAGATACAAAGCTCATCTTATTCGATTTCGATGCATCATTCGCATAATTTGTTACTGTTACTTTTGAGTTGTGATATCCTACTGGTATTTAACAGAGTCCTTTTCATCTGTTCACTGTATATTTTTGTTTTTAAACGTTCATTAACACTCCTTTTTTTCTAACATTTTCAAATTGTTTATTTTTCTAGTCTCATCTTATTGTCTTCTACTGTGTTAAAGTTAGTTAGAAATTCCATATCGTGATCGTCATGGCTGGTTCATGATCTTTTCCCTGCTACTTTACCTGTAGCTGTGAATGTACATACACCAAGATAATGTGTAAATGAGTGTGCTACATATTGTTTTTCGCTGTATCAATCGTCTTTCTTTCTCAAGAGTTTTTTTCGAAATGAATCGTCCTTCTTGTTTTTATTTAACTTTTCAAGTTGTACTTCTCGATCCATTTATATGATCTCTCATGCTATCGTGCTAAGCTTTACTCGTAGGCACCTTCAGTGTATGGGCACGAAATTTTTGGGTCATCTCAACTTCTTCAGATATCTTAGTACCATCAAAAAAACTGAGTTGTTAGGGACCCATTGCAATCCCATCAGGATGAATATTTCAGAACGTCAGGAGTTTAAGTAATACATTTTGCACTCAAAGTACTAAATTCAATGTTATAGAGCGATTTTGACAAAACCTATTCATATTTTAAAAGATCTTTTCGAGAAAAATAACTATGAAATTAGGTAAATTTATTTAGTTTGAGTGGTCATTCTTATGTTGTCAATGAAGGATTGCTGGTGGGGCAGTTAGAGACCTTTTGATGGGTAAGGAAGCTGCAGATTTGGATTTTGCAAGCACAGCTACTCCTACAGAAATGAAAGTGAGCAAGAAGTAGGAAATTTCGCAGAGAATTTGTCTTCAGGCGATGTTCGAAAAAGAAGGGATTCGTATGCTTCATAAGAAAGGAGAAGAACACGGCACTATAACCTGTAGGATCGAAGAAACAAATTTAGAAGTGACGACTCTAAGGTACTGCTCGTTTCATTTCCATCACAAACAGCACTAGCGAGCGGTTGAGTTCAGCGTGGAGCATTTTTAATTTCCATTCAGGATTGATGAAATTTGTCATGGGAGGAAAGCAGAAGTCAAATATACTACAGATTGGCAGCTTGACGCTAATAGAAGGGATTTAACAATCAATTCTATGTTTTTGGGTTGGCTTGACATGATGTACAGAATTAATTGTGTTCTCCACAGATTTTTCTGGCACAATTCACGATTACTTCCATGGCATCGAAGATGTGAAAAACAAAAGAGTTGCCTTTGTTGGCAATGCTGAAGCGAGAATTCAGGAAGATTACTTGAGAATTCTGCGGTATCAACAGTCCAAGCTCGTGTTCATTCCCTTCGTTTTCAGCTATTTCCGTTTCTTCGGCCGAATTTCAGAGAACAAAATTCACGATGCCGAGACATTAGATGCAATCAAAAGAAATAAGGACGGTTTGAAAGTACATTACGGCGAATAACAAAATCGACTGAAAATTCTTGTCTCTTAGGGAATCAGTGCTGAAAGGATATGGACTGAACTTAAACGGATACTCATTGGTCGTTTAGCACCCGATGTGAATTTTTAAAAATTGTTCCGTGTTTACATCAAATTTTCAGGTAATGGAGTGTATGATGATAGAATGTGGCCTCTCAGAGGTATTGGGGTTGCCTCCCCCCGAAGAGTGTGATTTCGAACGATTCAGACAGGTATTCGAAGAGTGCAGATTTACCTAACTTGGTTTTTATGGTTTCTCAGGTATTTGATAGGCATTCGGGAAAACTGCAGTCGATGACTTGCTTGGCAGTTCTCGTGAAGGATCCACAAGCAGTTACGAAATTCCACAGATACATGAAGGTTGATAAGCTTGAGGGTTTACGTTGCGTTACAAAATATGTTTCTAGTGTTCTAATAATGAAAGTTACCTGGGAGAGTTTGTTTCAACCAAACTTGAAGAAGCCTCGAAGCATGCCGAGAATCTTGAGTGGTATCAGAAAACTATAAGTGAACTGAAGAAACCCAGTAGTGAAGGAAGTTAGTTTAATTAACTAGATTGATAACTCTTCCAAGTTTTCAAAACTAATGCTCACGACTTCACTGTCCAGTTATTACTCGCTTCGTTAGGCGAAGTTGGTATTGTTCAAGAGTTAGAAGATTGGCAGATGCCAGTGTTTCCTGTGAACGGTTCGATCTTTTGTTGATTAGAATGGTTTCTAAATATTCTTCCAGGATTTGACTTGATGCAAATGGGAGTTCCTAAAGGTCCAGCAATGAAAGAAGTGTTATCGGAGGCATACGACTATTGGCAATCGGTATTCCTTTTCCTGTGATTAGCTCTCATTTTTGATTTTCAGACGAAATGGTCTGTAGAGAAATCGGAATTGTTAGAAGAAGTGAAGCGAATTGCAATGAAGGTGAAAACAAAGAGAAAACGGTCGCCCAGTAGAGATCGGTCATCAAGTGAGGGTGTTCAAAAGAAAAAATGATTCAAAAACACGACCTTTTCTTTTGTTTTTTTAACCTTGTATTTCTGTTTCAAACAAGATATGTAATAAATTGACAGCTTCGAATCGGGACTATTTCCATCGTTCATGTGAAGCCAGGTGTACGTTGTCTCTTATTCGAGGATGAGGAGGAAGAAGGAAGCGGTTGATTACTTTCATTGTTTACCAAGAATCTAATTATACATTTGCCCCTGAGCATTGGAAGCCTTTTGGTGGAAGCGATGAGCGCATGAAATTTTATTGTGTGCTTTGTTGCATCAACTCCTTCCGGCTTGCGAGGTGAATAAGTTCAAACGACGAAACATAGCAGAAATTAAGTAATGAACAAGGAAAACGTGCTAAAATGAAAGATGAAAGGGTATGGGATGGGGTTAAGACTGCAAAAGGAATTAATTCTTTTAATGGAAAAGTAAACGTCATATCAAATGACGCACCGAGTTTCGTCCAAGCTTAAACTTACTGGCTATTCCTTTGTACCTTGGTTCGACGGACTGGGCTTTAGGATTTTGTTTTCCTAGAGCTGGTCGCAGGAAACTTATACTTGTTCGACTTTTTTTCTTTTCATTTATCTTCCATGACAGCTATGTTGTTGTTATGAGAAAGCTGATACACGATTCTGCTGCTATATTGCAGTCTTGGAGCACCACATGATTCGTTATCGCTTGTCTTCAGATTTTATTTGGCATTGGAACTAGTGATGATCTGCATTAACTCGCACAATAGTGGGACCATTTCGGAAGCAGGATCTTTTGAATTGCCCTTATAGATTGAAAAGAGAAATTGAAAAACCCTGAAAACATTGATGTTTTTCGCACATCAGTACAACGTAGGAACAGATGAGAAAGACTTCCATAAAACGTTGAAGAATATGAATAAGCTCTTTTTATTGCTTGGTCGTTTCTCGGCCACTGAAATGACATTCAAATGTGATTGAATGACGTCATTGTCGGCTTCTCCACGTCGTCTTCATCTTCAAGAATCGTAGCTTTTGGTCTTCCCGATTGCCTTGTTCCTCTATTTCGCTGTCTTTCGTTTACTGATGGTGGAGGAGCACCGAAGCATCTCTCATACATTTATTTTATTCATTTTATGTCTTCTTCATAAACCACATGTGTCGACAATCGTAACCGACAGCGCTTCCTTAATTGTTACCTTTTTGCAAAAAAACGATTAAAGATAGTAGATTCGTTTGCAAACGATGATGAAGTTTTTTCCTCCTCTTCCTGGAGTTTAAAACGTACTAATGGAACGTTTAGATAGAAATGATTTACACGCTAATTGTATAGAGAACGTTATTCCATCTCTTCTCCTTCTCTTTTGGGAGTTCTACATACATATGTTACTCAGTAGATCATCTACTTCTACGGATACTCTCATACTAAGAAACGCTTTCAATATTCTCTCTCAAGTGAGCCTTATGAAGGGATATTGCCATATGGTATATCCATTTTCTGGAAACATATTGCATCTAACAAATCGGATACCACAATCTCTCGTTTCGCTCAAAAGCTTTTTTCATCTTTCAACTATATTTTGTGCATTTCATATATATCAACGTTTTAACCTCACTATTCCTTTTACTTATAACTCTTTAGCAATTTATCTCTTGTGGTAATAGTAGTATTCTTGTGCTATGTGTAATTCTAAAAGCCCTCTGGAAAAGAAATAATGGGCTAGAGATAAGGTGGTAGGCGTGCAACAAGAAGTAGCAAGGGTAAATGAGGGAGTCTACAGCTTAGACTTACCACACCCAGAATGAGAAAGAGAAGAAAAATGAGAGAAAAGCAGAGAAAGTAGATGAGGAGCACAGAGAGAGAAAAAAAAGGAGACGGAGTGCAGGAGGGATCTTGCCTATTGATTTCCATCTGTTCTTTCTCCCGTTTGCTCTCTCTCTCATTCACTTTCCTTCCCTATTCCTCTAATGCCTCAGGCTATGTTGAGGTATACTCATGTGTCTGCTAGCAATGGCACATGAACAGCTTCAAGCAATCTCTTTCATTCTGTCTGCTTCTCTCACGCTTTACCTAATTTCTTTAAGTCTTTCTTGAAGTTCGATTCTCTTGGTATCTCACTCTCTACGATATCCATTGCAACTGTCTGAGCTAATACTAGCTCCGACGATCAAAAGTCCCACTTATTTCATGCAATCCACCCTTAAAAGAAACGACTATAAAGAGATACAGATCATAAAGCTCAAACGAGTGCAGTCTTTTGCCAGTTCGTTTCCTTTTTCAGATTTCTAATTTACATATATTCTGTCTCGATAGAGTATTTCCTTTGAACGATTTTTGTTTCCTTTATTCTATAACCTTTCGCATAGCCGATGCGTTTGGCTTAAATTTTGTTTGCCAACGTTAAGCTTCAAAACATCACTAGGATTATTTGGCAAAAATTATTTTGAACGTATTTTAATCAAATAATCCATTTTTCCTGTATCCAACTAACCATTTGTTCGATTGAAGCCTAATAGTCATCAAGAAGTCTGTTAGTAAATGGCAACAAACGAAAA